GGGCAACACAGTGAGACTATGTCTCAAAAAAAAAAAAAAAAAAAGAAGTGGATGTGAGGGTCTCTACTGCACAGAAAAGGAAACAGGCTCCGAGTGCGGAGTGGAACCCAGGTCCAACGCTTAGGCACTGCCTTGCCCTTTCTTGTGAGGAGGGGGATACAGGATTAATCTGGCAGTCTGTTCTGTCTCTGCTCGCCCCTGCCCCAGCCTGTCTGGCCATCTGTCAGGCCTGTGGTCCTCAGGGGGCAGTGTGACAGGACTTTTTACACTGGCAAAGGCTGCAGGCCTGGGTGGGAAGGGTAGGAGGCAGGATGTCCCAGCTGCCCAGACGGGCCTTGGCTTTGTGCCTCAAGTGGCCTGCAGAGGGCCCCAAGAGGCCTGTGTGTGTAGCCAGGTGGTCACCAGCTCCTCCTTCCTGTTCCGGTCTCAGAGCCCTGGGCCGCCTTATCCTGGACACCTCCCGCCCTGACTTCCAGCCTGGCATGACTCCCAAATGCCCCCTCTTCCTCTCTCCAGCCCTCCCTGGGCTCTCAGCTCCCAGTCTTAGAGCCCACTTGTTATTCAGCGGGAGTTTTCTAATCTGACTGCGTCCCTCCCCTGCTCAAATCCTTTCCAGGCTTCCCCAGGGCACCTGGATAAAAGTACAAGCTACAAAGCTTGGCCTCTAAGACCCAGAGTGATTTGATTCCAGCCTCATCACTGGCTCCTGCTCTGCCCCTCACCTGTCCTCCTAGTCACCTGTGAGCTTCCTTTTGGTGCTCTAGGACCTTACTACTCAACCACTCTAAGTGTGGTCCCCCTAACGGGTAGCACTAGCGTCATCTGGGAGCAAATAAGAAATGCAGCATCTAACGCCTAACTCCGGATCTGAATCTGCACTTTCCCAGGACAGTAGTTTGAGAAGCACTACTTCAATAGGAATACTCTTTGTTGCTTCTCGGCCTTTGCACATGTTGTCTATCTGGAATATCCTTCTAGCCTTTTCCTGATTGGTCCTCCTCATCCCTCATGTCTCAACTCTGACATCTCTTCCCCCAGGAAGCCCTCCCTGACTCCCTAGGCTGGATCAGGCTCCTCCCCTGGGCTCTCACAGTCCCCTGTGCTTCCTCCATCCCAGCCCTGTCCACTCTGGGTCCTCACTGTCTCTCTTCCCACTGAGAAGGCTGGACCTGGGTCACTGTTGTGTCCCCAGTATTGCCCAGAATAGAGCTGGGCACAGAAGAGGTATCAGAGAATGTGTAAATTGATGGCTAAATGATTAGAAGACCAAAGTCAAATGTCCAATCTCGACAAATTAATGAGATGGGTTTCTCTGCAGACTCTGAGACAAAGTGACCTGGTGGGTGGGAGGCATGGAGGCAAAGGAGGTGACAAAGTACTTCTTGCGGACAGAGCTGTCCCTGGGGAGCAGCCTGCAGGGAGGTATGTGAGCACTGGTTGGACACCCAGGCCCTGGACAGAGTGAGCCTGGGGAGGTGACAAGATAGCCACTGTGGGCCCTTCTCTTAGCAGGGTGCTCGGCAGGGGTTGGGAGCATGGGCTCTGGACCCAGACTATGAGTTTCAGTCCCAGGTCTGCTGTGATCTTAGGCAAACACCTCAGCCTCTTTAAGCCCCAGTTACCGCATCTGTAAAATAGGGCTAAAAATGGTTCCTACCTCATAGAGTTGCCAATGGTTGAAATTAGTGACTCTATGTAAAGCACTTAAAACAGTGCCTGACATAATATTCAGTGCTTAGTCTTTGTTAGCTATTATTATTATTTATTATCTAATTCCAGATACTGTATTTCTCCTTACCCATCTGCCTTAGTATCTGGCTTGAATCTCAGCCCTTCAGAGGCCCCAGGGTTGGGGGGACTCACCTCGATGTAATGGTCTGTGAACTCCGTCCCAAATTCTCGGCTTGCGCCGAAGTCCAGCAGGGTCACCTGGGAATGAGCCATGGTGGACGGAATGCTGGGAGCCATTAACATCCCCCATGGTCTCTCAGGGCAGCCAGGATCTGTCTCTCCCTCCCCTTGACCCTGTCGCCTGGCCGCTGCAGCCAGAGTCCCTGCCTGGCTGCCTCCCTGGGCTCCCGGCCTGCAGTCCCCCACTTCCAGCCTGCCCTCACAGGACGGCTGAAGGCATCTGGCTTTTATTTATTTATTTACTTTTGGTCCCAATTGTTTGTTTATATAATAATAAGTTTTTGGCACAGAAAAAAATTCAGAGACTAAAATATTAATATGTGGAAAAGTAAACAATATGTGGGTATTCATACCCACAATTCTACCACTCAGCTTAAAATATAAAATACCATCAATCCAGGTAGAGCCTCCTGTCTATCCCGCCCTGATGCACCTCCCCCACGTCCCCAAGGTCCTTTCCAGAGTCACCACTTTCCTGAAATTGTTATTATTATTATATCCTGAAATTCCCATGCATGTGTTTCTACATTTTCTGCATATGTGTGCACCCATAAACAATATATCGTAATGGTTTGCATATTTTAAAACTTCATATAAATGGTATTTCCTGTGGTTATCCAGCACCTTGTGTTTTTCGCCCAAAATGATTTTGCAGTTTTTATCCCCATTGCTATGTGAAGCTCTAGCTCATTCATTCATTTTTCATGCTGTATGAGGACTTCATTGCATGATTATATCACAATGCACTTACTGGTTGATGGACATTGTGGTTGTTTCTGATTTTTATGCTCGAGCAACACATGTGTCAGGGTTTCTCAAGGGCAGTGCAGTTGGAACTGACTATAACCCACAGTAAGAAATAAAGTTTGTACTGGGTGCCGGTGCATATGCACACATAAATATAAACATCAAACAAGTGTCCCAAATAACACGGATCCCTCCCATCTATGACACACTGATATTTTCTACTCTATTCCGTGAAGACAAAAAATGCTGTTGGAACTCAAATGAATTGATATCAGGGCTTCTATCACCTCCTGGTATTTGATAAACACCTCCATGGGGGGTAAGCCTAGGAGTGGACACAGGGTCTCTGCATGCTGGAAAAGGGGGACAAAGGACTGAGGCTGGACACTCTGGGGACACAGGATGCTCAGCAAAGGACTCAAACTTGATTCTGAGGGTGCTAGGAGCTATGGAAGGGATATCTTGACCAGATTTGTGTTTTAGAAAGATCCCTCTGGGGACAAAATGGGGACAGACCACTTTGGAGAGCCACGTGGCAACCTCTGCTAAAGGTGAAGATGTGTCCACAGACAACAGAAGTCTGCACATCCAAACCTTCACCTCCAGGTCTTTGGACACCCTGAGCCCTCTGCTGGGAACACTCCACCCTGCCTTCTGGATGCTGTCTCTTTCTCTTCTTTCTGGTCTCAGCTTTAATGGTAGTTCCTTCAAGAGGCCTTCCTTGGTTCCCCCTGCCCCAGGCTGGGTCAGCCACTTTCCTTGTGCTTCCCCCATCCCAACCCTGACCCCTCTGCCTGTGCCTCCCTGCTAACTACTCTAAGTCACGGTTGCAAGGTAAGAGGTCCCCTACTGGACGGGGAACTCTGAGAAGGCAAGAGTCAGGGATGTCTTGTCATCCCTGTCAAGAGGCAGAGACTGGGGGTGTGGTGTGGTCTAAATGCATGACAAGTATGGCAGTGATGGCTAACTGCCTTCCAAAAGCACTTTCTCTTCTAAACTGTCACATGCCAGTAGGAAACCACTGCCTAGCCAGGGACTCCATTTCCAGCATCCCTTGTACCTAGACAGGCGGTGTGCCAGTTCTCGTTGCTGGAATGGTAAAGGAAATGATGTGTCGTTTCTGGCCAAAGCAGTTAGGCAGGGGGTTACCCTCTCAACTTCTCTTTCCCCTTCCAGCAGAAGCAGAGCATTGCAAGGCCCCAGGGGACAGCACAACCGCAAAAGGGAAGGAGCCTGGGTCCCTGAATCACCACATGGAGAAGGGCCATCCCAGCCTGTTGTGCGGATAAGAAACTGCTACTGTGTTGAGTTACTGAAGTATCAGGGAATATTTGTCACAGCAGCTAACATACCCTGACACACACATCACATGGTACCAACCTGGTGGCTGGAGGCGTCATACAGAAAGTTGGCCCAGTTGGGGTCCGTCTGCATGAATCGGAACTCAAACAGCTCCCGCAGACATAGCCTCAGGAGCTGGAAGCAAATCTGGGGAGGGAACAAGGAGTAACAGACATCTCAGTACGATCTGCCCCTGTAGAGCGCTCACTGGCCTGGAAAGGGACCGTGGGCCTGGCCTTCCCTGCCAGCCCCACCCTGGGGCAATGACCTCCCTACCATGCCATGAGATCACATACCTGGTTCCGGATGTCCTGGCTCAGGCCCTGGCACTGGTCCAGGGGGATTCCTCCAGCCAGCTCCATGCCCAGCACCCTTGTCGTGCACAGCTCCTTAACCACAGCTGGCACCCGGAAGAACGGGTCGTCTGCCAGCAGCTGCCTGGGGCAGGAGGGAAGGCAGGGAACGGGACTTTGTGCTTCAGGCCCCTGTGACCCAGCCTGAGGCCTCCTCCTCCTTTTCCAGTAAGTCCTTCATGAACAGCCCATGTCTTCCCCTCCTTCCTGCCCTCCTCTTGCCTCTGTCTGCCCTGGGTGATGGCCAATACCTGGCTGGACTGACATTTAACAAATATCCCCGAGGTACCTACTCTGTTCCTGCCCCTAAACTGGGTCCTGCTCGAGACCCAGCTACCACTTCCTTACCTGAAACTCTTCCATGACTTCTGGTTGCCCCAGGACAGGAGGAGCTCAGTGTATTTAGTTTGTACATTACTTTCTTCACCAATTTATTAATTAATTCATCCTCAAAATAGCCACTGATATACAAATCTGTGGAGTTTATAGCGAGACTCATGGGTCACTCCTTGGAGTCACTATACTGAACAACAGTAAGGTGAAGGATTTCTTCTATGTCTGTGCTGGACAATGCTGGGGACAGAGCAGTGAATGAACCAGTCCCCAGACCTGTGCCCACACCAGGAGACTATAGTCTAACAAGCAAACAGACCAATCACAGATTGAGATAAGTATGTCAACGTAAGACTTGGGAGGCGCAGCACGTGAACAAGCCTCTGGCCGAGGACCTGTGGGGAGCAGGGGAAGGATGGGGCTTCTATCCTAAGGGCACTGGGACATCCCGTGGGGGAGGAGGTCTCTGCAGATCCCACACAGGAGTGCTCTGGCCCATCATCCCACTTCACCCCCCTCTCAAGGTCCTGCTTGTATTTTTGTCCTTATTTATAAAATATCTGATGTTTGAAGCGCTCCTCGTGGCCAGGCGCTGTGCTGAGCATTTATTAATAATTGGCACAATTCCCTTGTATCCTCACCCCACCGTGAGGACACTCTCCTGAGGCCACTGTACAGATTCAGGCTACACGGTCTGTTAAAGGCTGTCCTGGGAGTTGATCCCACATCAGAGTCCAGGGTCCATGTCCCTAACCACTGCCTTCTACTGACTTTCCTCTTACTCTCTGTCTACAGAGCTTGGCACATTGTAGATCCTCAATAAATGTGTGAGCCACACTGGGGAGGGTCCCACTGAGGTGTCGTTAATTGTCGCACATCATGCTTCCAAGATGTAAACACTGTTCTACGTAGCTACAGTTTATCTTCACTGCTGCATAATATTCCGCTGATGAACACACCATAACTTACTTATCCAACCTGCTGGATAAATCTGATAGATTTGGGTTGTTTCCAGTTTTGGGCTCTTGCAAACAATGCTGCTCTGAGCATTCTAGAAAAGTCTCGTGGTGTATACTGGCATAAGGGTCCCTAGAGTATTTAGCAAGGACAGTTATTGGGGCCGTCGGGTATATGGATATAAAGGCTTATTCCATGATGCCCAACCAGTCTCCGAAGTGCTTCTATCAATTTCTTCTCCTCCCCCCACAGTGCTCAAAGGAAGCTCCAGAGCCCACTTCTCCCCAGCTCCTGCTGCTGTCAGACTGCTCTGCTCCCTCTGCCAGTCCAGCAAGTGCAATGGTGTCACATTGTGTGATTACGTGCCCGTGTCAGACCACAGTGGGTACGAGTCCCCTCTCATGGAGGAGACAACTGACGCTCAGGGAGAAGTGACCTGTCAAAGCTCACAGAGGACACTGGGTAAGTGAAGCAATGAGCGAATGGATAGACGGATGAACAAATGATTGAAAGAAAGAGCAAAAGAGTTTGTCAGCCCCGCCCCCGGGCTCCAGCTACCACAGGCTGGGGGGCGTCCACTTCCCACCCAGCCAGGCAGGGAAGGAAGGAGGGAAGCTGGGGGGAAGGGGCCCCGGGGCCTGCAAAGGGCTCGGCTCACCTGAAGTTCTGGGCACAAGCTGCCTCACGACGGTAGTCACATTCCCAGGCCAGCTCCTGCTGCAAGGCCTGCAGGCTCTGCTCGGCAAACAGGCCTGCGGGGGCGGCCGTGTCACACAGGAAGGGGTCCCTGGGCTCCCACCCACGGCGTCTTCTCTCGCCAGTGCTCTCTCCTTCCCTCACAGCCCTTGCTCCAGGCCTGCTACCGGCACTGTCTGTCTGCAGTTTCCCTCTGTCCTTCACACAACTGCGGTCTCTTCTGAGGTCTCTCTCCGGGGGTCTCGCACCCCAGGTCCCAGGCGGCTGTGTCACAGTCACACGTGCCCCTGTTCCGTCTCTCCTTCCTACTGATGCTCTCCTGTCGCTGTCAGCCTCTGGGTCTCACTTCTAGGCCTGTCCCTCCCTCCCTCTCACACAGACACAACCCACTCCCCCTCCTCCAGGCGCCTTCTCGCCTTCTCGCCTGCTCGGACACAAACAAGCCGTCCTGCTAACGCCCCTTCTGCTTCTGTGGCTCTTTCTCCCCGTCCCGTCCCTGTCCCAGTGCTGCACACGCTCTGCTGCCTCTTTCCAGATTCTGGCCGGAGCTCCCGTCTCTCTGTAGCCCTGTTTCAACCTGTAAGGTCCCCCCCCCACAAACACTCCTGCTCTCTGGGCTCTCCTGGCCTCAGTGTCCTTCTTTCTGTCGCGCACACAGCGACATAAACACTCCCTTCTACTCAAGTCCCGCACACCCTGCCGCGCTCTCCCTCCCTCCAGCCCGCCCACCTCCTCTCCTGAGAGTCCCCCCCAGTCTCGGGGAAGAGGCACCTCACCCTCGGGCAGGGCCACACTCATCTTCAGCACCGCCAGCAGGTTCTGGACGTCGCTCTGGATGCTCTGGGCGACACCCGGGTACTGCGAGGAGAGGAGAGATGGAGGGTGAGAGTCACTCCTCCGGACCAGCAGGGTGCCCACCCCACCCCGCCCGGCCTCCCCTCTCACCTGGATCTTCACGGCCACCTCCGTCCCGTCCCTCAGCATGCCCTGGTGCACCTGCCCGATCGAGGCAGCAGCAAAGGGCACCTCCTCCAAGGAGGCCACCTTGGCCTGCCAGTCCCTGCCAAGCTCCTCTTCGAGAACTCTCTGGGGGGAGAGGTCACAACAGTCATCAGGATTGTTACAGGCAGCTGAGCTCATCCCTGTCCTGAGCACTTTACACTTTACACTTTACCCCAGCACTCTCCACGCGCCTGGCCCTGGCCTAAGCTCTTGGCTACCACCCCACCTTACACACAGGGAAACTGAGGCTCAGAGAGAGGTCCCTTGCCCACAGTGACCAGCCAGGTGTTGGTAGAATAGAATGGGAGGCTCAACCCGACTTGTCTCCCAAGCCTGCACCCCCGCTGGGCGGTGCGGGCTGTTGTGGGGATTACTATTATTTATGGCTGAGACAGAGAACAATCCCGTATTACAATCTATGTTGCTATGAACTCGAAGTCAATGTGATAAAGAGGAGCTAAACTGCACAGGGGCCTCCTTAGGCCAGAGCCTGCTTGAAGTGGCTCAGAGAGAGGTGGGCCCGCCTGGGGTCGCATGGCAAGGGAGCAGAGCAGAGAGGGGAGGGCAGGCAGGTGGCTGCATTCCGGACTCCACACCCTTACCCAGTTATTACAAGAACAGCTCATGTCTTGGGGACTTACTCAGTGCCAGGCACTGTGCCAACCTATTTACAGGCACACTCTCCTTTAATTAAAAGAACAGTAATAATCACAGCTAAAATCTGCACGTCACTCATGGTGTGTCAGGGGCTGTTCCAAGTGCTCCATGCAGACTAATTTACGTAACCCTCTGATGTGGGCGTAGATATCACTGTTGCCATTTCCCAGACGAGGTAACTGAGGCACAGAGAGGTCAAGCCACATGTGTGAGATCACACAGGTAGTAAGTGGCAGAGATAGGGCTGGAATCATTGAAGTCCGGCCCCTGATTACTGCGCTTTGCTGCCTCGACCGAGTACTGACTCTGTGCCCAGGACTGGACGAGGACTCTTCACCGTCCTCTCATTTGACCATCACAGCAATGCTATGAGGTGTGTACTTTGGTGATCCCCATTTTACAGAAGGGGAAACTGAGGCTCAGAGCCAGACATGGAGTAGAGCAATGGAGCCAGGAGGGTCAGGCAGGCGGGGGAGATGGAGCTCGCCTGCCCCTAGCTGGCCCTCCCTCACCGGGCACTCACCAGCATCTGCCAGCGGGGCATGAAGTCGGCGCTCTGGCGGACCCGCTCGAAGATGCGCTGCAGCTCGGGGCTGATGAAGCTGTTGTCTTGGGAGACAGCAGGATGAGGGGACAGTGAGGGAGGAGACAAGGAGGGAGCCCTGTGTGAGTATCTGAAGTTGGGTCTTGTTGATGGGTGGGGGTGAGATGAAAGTGAGGTCAGGGGTCAGGCGTTGAGGGTCATGCTGTACCCTGGATGCTGAGCATTTGGCCAACCTTGAGGGCGGCCCCCCGAACTGTACACAAGGTCTGCACAATTCGCTCGGCGTTGGCCTCCGAGAGGAAGGGGCTGGAGTCCAGCCGAGAGCTGCCCTCTGGGGAGGAGAGAATAACCATGAGTATGACAATCACAGAAATCATCCCTGCACACCAACCAGAATGGCTACAACGAAAACAACAATACCAAGAGTTGGCAAAGTTGGGTAGCAACCTGAACTCAGACTCCGCTGATGAGAGTGTCCTGGCATAAGCCCTTTGGAAAACAGCTGGGAAGTTTCTAGTAAAGCACATACCTATGCCCAGTGCAGTTCCTCTCCTAGGTTTATACCCCAGAGAAATGCATCAATGTGTCCATCAACAGATAGTACAAGGATGTTCACAGCAGCGCTATTCATAACAGGCGCAAACTGGAAACAACCCAAATGACTACAGCTTGGAGAACAGTCACAGAGTGACGAATAAACAAGCTGCCACCACATAAAAGAACAAGGACGCAGCTCACAAACTTAACGTTGTGTAAAAGAAGCCAGACGCATAAGGGAATATACAGTCCCGTTACATGAACAGGCGAAACTAATCTAGGATGGCAGAAGCCAAGACAGTGGTCACCCTTGGTGAGGGGAGTGACCAGGTAGGGACATGAGAGGAGCTTCTGGAGACCCAGGGCAGCGATTCTCAAAATGGGACCCCTGAGAGTCTCGGACACCCTTTAAGGGGGTCTATGAGATCAAACCGTTTTCACCATATTAAAATGTTATTTGCCCTTTTTCACTCCCATGCTCTTAAGAACATTCAGTGGAGTCTTCCAGAGGCTCCAGGACATGTGAGGACATCATCATTTTGACAGCTGATGCAATGTGTTTTTGTGTGTTCTTGTGTTTTAAAAATCTCTCAGTTTTAATCTCTAATACACTAAACATTGATGAATACGACCCATATAAACAAACTCTTTAGGGTCCTCATTCTATTTTTAACAGCTTTCTAGTAAAATAATTTGCATGCCATATAATTCACCCATTTAAAGTATCCAATTCAGGCCGGGCGCGGTGGCTCACGCCTGTAATCCTAGCACTCTGGGAGGCGGAGGCGGGTGGATCACTCAAGGTCAGGAGTTCAAGACCCGTCTGAGCAAGAGCGAGACCCCGTCTCTACTAAAAATAGAAAGAAATTAGCAGGGCAACTAAAAATATATATATATACAAAAAATTAGCCAGGCATGGTGGCATGTGCCTGTAGTCCTAGCTACTCGGGAGGCTGAGGCAGGAGGATCGCTTGAGCCCAGGAGTTTGAGGTTGCTGTGAGCTAGGCTGACGCCACGGCACTCACTCTAGCCCGGGCAACAAAGCGAGACTCTGTCTCAAAAAAAAAAAAAAAAAAAAAAAACCATAAAGTATCCAATTCAATGGTTTCTGGTATATTCACAGAGTTATACAAACATCGCCATAATCAATTTTAGGACGTTATCATCACCCCAAAAAGAAGCCCTATACCCTTCAAGAATGTATCTACCTCTGAAAAAAAAATTAAAAGTAAAAAAGAAAGGAAGAGAGAAAAAGATGATCAAAAAAGAAAGAAAGAAAAAAGAAACCCATCCTGGTTTCAGCACTGAAAAAACCCAACAAACACCCTATACCCATTAGCAGTCACTTCTCATTTCCCCCTTCTCCCCAGCCCTTGACAGCCACTAATCTCCTTTCTGTCTCTGCAGATCTTCTTGTTCTGTACATTTCGTATTAATGGAATCATTCAATATGTGGCCTGTGTGTGGCTGCTTTCGCTTAGCATGATGTTTTTGAGATTCCTCCTCATTGCAGCATGTGTCAGGAATTCATTCCTATTTATGGCCGAATAATATTCCATTGCATGCACATAACACATTTTATCTATCCATTCCTCAGTTTTAAGGGTGTGCAGGGATCCTGAGACCAAGCAGTTTGAGAACTGCTATTCTAGGCTTTCTTGATTTGATTGCAGATGTGTCAACTTTGTGAAAACGCACCAAGCTGTACACTTACAGGTATGTGTGCATTGTTTTGCATACAGGTTACATTATTCTTTAGTAAAGAATTTCATAAGCTTTTGTTAATTTTATAAAAATGTTATTGAGTCCCGGCATGGTGGCTCACGCCTGTAATCCTAGCATTCTGGGAGGCGGAGATGGGAGGATCGCTTGAGGTCAGGGGTTTGAGACCAGCCTGAGCAAGAGTGAGACCTTTCTCTACTAAAAACAGAATATATTAGCTGGGCATGGTGGCGCACGCCTGTAGTACCAGCTACTTGGGAGGCTAAGGTGGGAGGATCACTTGAGCCCAGGAGTTGGAGGTTGCAGTGAGCTATGTAGACGCCACTGCACTCTACCTAGGGTGACAGAGCAAGACTCTGTCTCAAAAAAAAAAAAAAAAGTTATTGAGCTCTTTATTGAGTGCTCACCCTCTTCCAGGCCAAATCCTAAATGTCTTTGTGGCTTCTCTGGCTGAATGCCCACAATCACCCCAAGAAGTGAAAACTGTCAGTGCTTTAATTTTCAGGGTGAGGAAGCAAAAGACTCAGAGAGGTGCAGCACCTGGCTCTGGGTCACACAGCATGGAAATGGTAGAGCAACGTATAGACTCAGGTTGGCCTTACCCAAAGCCTAATCCTCTGCCCACCCTCAACTTTTTATTTTGAAAAACATCCAAATAGACAGAAAAGTTGCATACATAATATCATGAACACTGCACACCCTCCGCCTCGATTCAACATGGTAACATTCTGCTTCATCTGTTTTATCTGTGTGTACCCACACACTTACTATTATTACTTTTTGCTGACCCACTTGCATGTAGTTGCACTTAAGCTTTGCTAAGAATAAGGATGTTCCAACACAATCACAATACCACAGTTACAGGTAGCAAAATTAACACTAATTCCCTAACATCTACTATTCTGTCCACATGCAGATTTTCCAACTGTCCTTAAAGAGTCTTTCATAGTTGTTCTTTTCGAACTAACATCCAATCATGGTTCACATACTCCATTTGTAAATTATTTTTTGGTTTAGTCCTACCAAACACGAATCCATTTGTAAATTAATGTCTCATTAGTCTCTGTTTAATCTAGAATATGCACCCCCACTTTTGTTTCAAGACATTGACTTGGTTGAAGACTGTTACCCACAAATGCTACATATCTAATTCCACCTCTGTTGTACACGGACCCCCACTAGCACACTGATTTTCAGCTTTCTTCTCCTGCTCAGCGTTAGGAATTCCCAATGGCTTAAATTTTTTCTCAGATAATATGCTTCTATTAATCACAACCCTGATAGTGGTTTGGCCCTGTTCTGAGCATGTCGCAAAAACTCTAAGAGCTGGACATGTTATCATCACCTCCATCTTCCAGATGGGAAACTGGGGCTCAGACACACGAAGCCACTTGCTCCAGGTTACACAGCAAGGCCAGGATCTGAACCCAGGCAGTGTGGCTCACTCACCTGGCTGCAGATGTCCTCCTTGCAGGGACTTCTTGGCTACTTCCGCCAGCGCACCCAGCCCCAAGCCCACAGCCAGTCCTGGAGAACAAGAGAGAAGCCTGAGGGCTGCCTGCCTGGGGCGTTCTCCCCCAACCTTCTCTCCTCTCTGGGTCTCTCTAGGTATGCTTGTCTCTGTATATCTCTGTCTCTAACTCAGTCTCTGACTCTCTTCCTGCTTGAAGTTTCCTTCAAGGTGAGGCTACCTCATTCTTTGTCCTCTCCATATCTGTCTCCTTCCCAGCAGTTCTCAGCCCTGGCTGCACACTAGTCACCAGAGGAGCTTTTGTAAATCCGATGCACAGACCCCACGCCCCAGCTTCTGATTAAAGTGGCCTGAGGTGAGGCCTGGGAATTCGTACTTTGTTTTTAGCATTCCAGATGATTGTAGTGTGCGGCCAAGGTTAAGAAAGCCCTGAGGGCCGGGCGCAGGAGCTCATGCCTGTAATCTTAGCACTCTAGGAAGTGGAGAGGGGAGGATCGCTTGGGTCTAGGAGTTCAAGACCATCCTCAGCAAGAGCTTTCTACATGCTAGATACTGTTCCCAGTGCCTTATACGCATTAACTTATTTTGTCCTTAGATAAGGTGTCCTCACCTTTGTGAAATATGTTTTACAGAAAAACTTCCATTTTATACAAAAGGAAATGGAGGCTCAGAGAACTAATTGCCCACAGTCGCAAAGTGAGGACAGAGCAGAGTCACCCTTTGAACCCTAGGCAGCCTGGTGCCAAAGCTCCAAACAGTGCACTCGACTGCCTTTTTATTTTCTTCTAATTTTTTATTTTTTTGAGACAGAGTCTCTCTCTGTTGCCCTGGCTAGAGTGCAGTGGTGTCATCATAGCCCACTGCAACTTCAAACTCCTGGGCTCAAATGATTCTCCTGCCTCAGCCTCCTGTGTAGCTGGGATTATAGGCCTGCGCCACCAAGCCCAGATAATTTTTTCTGTTTGTTGTAGAGACACGGTCTTGCTCTTGCTCAGGCTGGTCTCAAACTCCTGAGCTCAAGCAATCCTCCCACCTCGGCCTCCCAGAGTGCTTCGATTGCCGGCGTGAGCCACTGTGCCTGGTCACAACTGCCTTTTTAGATTGTGAATCTGTACCTTTAAAACTTGAACCACGATCCACAGTAAAGAAGACATTGCCATTGTAACCGGCACAGACCAAGGTATATATGTTTCATGAAACAAGACTTTCCCTTGCTGTACAGGTACACTCATATTTTGTATTCTCTTCTTCTTCTCTAATGCTGGTTGCAACCCACTAAGTCATTTCATGCAAGTTGTGACCTAAAGTTTGAACCATCCGGGTGCATAATCCAGAGTCAAGTTGCCTTACCTTTCTTAGCTTCTATTTCCTCATCTACAGAATAGAAATAAACACTCATTGCTTTAGTGCAGCCAGTGCATGCGTGTATGGGGCCGTGCATATTACAGGTTCTCTTGGTCTTCATCTCTCTTTCCCTGTCTCTCCCTCCTCTGTCTGTCTCTGATTCATCCTCTCCCTTGCTTCATTCTGTAAATGTTGCCTCCTCTAATCTGAGTGACATCTAGATCCCCCAAAGTCACACCTACCCCCAAAGTTGGCCAAGCGGCTGATGCGGGAGGCGGGCACCTTGCGTTCTCGAGAGCGATCACTCAGCTGGGAAACAGGGAGAAGGTCTGAGGGCAGGAAGGTGGGCATAGTGCTCAGGGATTCCAACCAACCTGCCACCCCTCCCTTCCCCAAGCTCGGGGGACCAGCAGCCTTCATGGGCTGTTGCTACGTAGGTGAGGGCAATGATACCTGGGGCCGGGGTGTCTTCCTGAGACGGGCCTCCCGTGCCCTGCGAATATCCTCCTCGCCCAGGCCTCTTCCAGGCCCATCCTCGTGAAACTTTTGGGCCCACAAACCCCCATACGGCCCCTGCAAGAGACATGGACTCTGATAAGGAGTGGAGGACATGGGGTCTGCCTGGTCCTTTTGGATCCCTCCCTTTTACCCCTTGCAGTCTCCCTCAGTCTTTTCCCCTTGGAGGTCCCCTCCCCAGCCTCTTACCCACCAGTGGGCCCCAGGCCCCAGGGTCCCACAAGGCAGACCAACAATCTGGCCCTGCTGTCCACAGGTCCCCCGCAGTAGGCCCCCCACCTTCAGCCACATTGCCTGGGGGAGAAGAGGAGGGATTATTCGGGTAGGAGTTGCAGGACTGGCCTCCCTGCTTTCCTCTGCTTCTTTGCGGGCCCGCACATTGCCCTGTGTCCACTCTCTAAGCTTACCACCCACTAAAGACTTCCTCCTCTGTTAACAGACTCCCGCAGTGTCTCTTGGTTCCCCCCTCGTTGCTAGGAACCCACAGCTCTTCCAGCGCGCCTCCCAAACCCACTTTCCCCCATCTCCCACCCCCCGCCGTTGCTAGGGTCCTCCCTCGTTACTAGACACCCACAGATCCTCCGGGGCTACTGCTCCGCTTCTCTGAAACACCCCCACCCCCGTTGCTGGGCACCCCCGTCCCCTCTTGCTAGGCACTCACAATTCCTCCCGGTGTCCCCCCAACCCCGTTACTGGGCACCTCCCCTCGTTGCTAAGCACCCACTGCTCTCAGGCTCCGAGTCAGCAACGCGCAGGGGCCTCGGGTGTTTCCGGGAGCCTCTGCATGCCCGCCCCCTCTGGTCAGCTAGCCAATGATGGAGCAGCGGCTCGCTGACTGGCAGGCAGCGCGCCCCGCTGTGTGCGGGGGGCGGAGCCAGGGGCGTGGCCGAGGTGCCGGATCTGGGCACAAGGGTGGGCGTCCGGGAATGCTGGGTTCTGTGGGAGCTGACGCGTGCCCACTATACCCTTTCACTCACCTCTAAGTGCCTTAAGGGTACGCGGCAGACCTTTCTGTTCTCCACACTGTCCTTACAAACATCACTCCCTTACAAACTTCACACCTCTCATCTGCACCAACATCTTGCCAACCTTCCTTCTTATTTTTACCCCTGGCAGGCTCAACAGCTCTCCTTTGAACACACATTCTTCTCAGCAAACATTTCCCTTGCACATGGGCTCCCCGACTTTGCACAAACACTCACATCTCGGCACCCAACCTCCTTCCTTGTTCGTATAAACCCCTTGCCTTGCTCACCAACTGTCTCCTGCTCACACCTTCAACTCTCCTGTGTACACAAACCCCCCTCACTTGCACACTGAGCCTCTGTTCTCTCACTCACCCTGCTCTCTCCGCTCCCCGCCCACCTGCGGGATGGCGGGAGTGGGAGCCCTCAGTTTCCTGTAGGCCTGACATTTCCCAGAACACACCCAGCCAAGATTCCCAGTGCTGAGTCAGGAAACTTGGCAACCCAGAAAACTAGCTCCCAGCCCATCTGTGTGTGTATGCATGTGTTGGAACAGGCTGACTCACCCCTCTTCTCACAGTCTGGAATAGAAGCAGCTGGTTGGGGCACCTCTCCCACCACTGGGAGAGGGAGAGATGCAGATGCTTCCCCCACAGAACCCCGCTGCTCCTGTCCAAGCCCCTTTGTCGGGAATCAGGCCTTTCTGGCTCTATCCTTGTACTGTGTTACCTCAGAAGAGCCCTCGTCCCTCATATGGACCTCTGCTTGTACCTGTGACGTAACAGGTGGGACCCTGCCTCTGATTTCTCATTGGTGTGTGAAGAGACGACTCATTTTAGAGCCTTGGACCTATGCCCAGTGTCCCTCCATCAGGTGACTCAGTATCAAGATAGAAACCACCCCCTACACCCCTCCAGACGTGAAGGTCTGACTCAGGAGCTAGGTGGCAGCTCACCCTCAGGGGCAAAATATATAAAAAGCACCTATGACAATAACTAAACCTACAGGGCTATGGCTAATAGTGCCAGGCCTGGTGTCACATGCTTCACATATGAGGTCATATCAAACAGCCCTCTGGCTACAAACAAAAGGTAGAGACTGGCAGACTTCTGAGCCTCAGTGTCCTCATGTGTAAAACGGGGCCATGGCGTCCCTTTTTGCTCAGCGTGAGACAGTGAAGCACTGAAACGGTGTCAGGGCCTGGTCCAGAACAAGTGCTCTATATGTGAGAGAGATTTATTACGGAAAATTCAATCGAGCGGAAGTCACTCTCTCAAGGTAACTCAGCTCGGATGTGGCAGACGCAGCTCTTGAACCCACACCTGTGGGATTTCCAAGTCTTTCAAAGTCTGTCCTGTCCCTGGGTGAAGAATGGGCGCGGGCTGAACTCGTCACCGGGAGTTTTAGGGAGGCTGAACTGGTCCCACTTGAGGGTGAAGGAAGGTTGGATTAGTCACAGGGGGTGTAGGCAGGGGCCCCACTGGCCCGCAGACTCAACGCGCCCGAGCTTCCGGCACTGGGAGTTTACCCACTCCGACGGCGAGGGGCGGAGTCAGAGAGGGACCGGGCCTGTCCCGCCCCGTTACGTCACGTCCTGTGGGGCGGGGCTTCGGGCTATACCTGGGATGGCGGGGGGGAGTATCGGTTAACCCTTGCCTGGCGGGGCGGGCTTGAGCTCCGCTGGCCGGAACCCGAGAGTCCCGGCCGGCCAGCCACACCCCTCGCAGGATTTAAAGGGTAGGAGGGGCCGGGTCGGCCGAAGCCTGAACCGAAGGAGCGGGCATGAGGCGCTGCCCGTGCCGGGGGAGCCTGAGTGAGGCGGAGGCCCGGGCGCTGCCCGCGGCAGCCCGCACGGGGTTGGAGGCGCCGCGAGGAGGGCGGAGGCGGCAGCCGGGACAGCAGCGACCTGGGCCCGGCGCAGGGGGCCCGGCGGGGCGGCCGGAGTGGGGCGGGCCCTGGACCCGGACCGCGGGGTCCAGCCTCCACACTGAGTCCGAGAAGGCCGGCCTGGGGCCTGAGCCGTGGACAGATGGTCCACAGAGAGAATTCTGGACAGACGGACAGACTGAGCCTGAAGCAGCTGGCCTCGGAGCAGAGACGGAGAGGCCCAGTCAAAAGACGGAGCCAGACAGGTCCAACCTCCAGATACATCCAGAAAGGAGCTGGTCACAGTTGGAGACGACCAGTCGCTGGACGGAGACTGGGGCAGATGGCTTTTGGACTGATCCGCACAGGTCAGACCTCCAGTCTCAGCTAGAGAGGGCCAGCCTCTGGACAGGGCCAGGAGTTGATGGGCCCTGGACAAAGCTAGAAACACATGGGTCACAAACTCAGCCAGAATGGGTCAAGCCCTGGGTCGATAACCTCTGGACCCGCCAGAGCAGGTCCAACCTCCGGACTCACCCAGAGGGAGCCTGTCCCTCAACAGAGCCAAGTGCTGACGGCTCCTGGAAAGAATTGTACACTGATGACTCCAGGACAAAACAGGATACTGAAGGTCCCTGGACTGAGGCACACACTGATGGCTCCAAGACACGACAGGATACTGAAACAGCCAGGAAACAGCCTGGCACAAATAGTTTCCCAGTACAACAAGATACTGATGGTTCCTGGATACAGCCTGGCACTGATGGTCCCCAGACAGCACCTGGGACAGACTGCCTTTTGGGAGAGCCTGATGATGGCCAATTAGAGGAACCAGAACCTGAAGAGTTGTTGACTCATCTGTCCTCTCACCTGAAGTGTAGCCCCCTGTGCCCCGTGCCCCGCCTCATCATCACCCCTGAGACTCCTGAGCCTGAAGCCCAGCCAGTGGGACCCCCCTCCAGGGTCGAGGGAGGCAGTGGTGGCTTCTCCTCTGCCTCCTCTTTCGACGAGTCTGAGGATGATGTGGCCGGGGGCGGAGGTGCCAGCGATCCTGAGGACAGGTCTGGGGTGAGTGGGACCCATCCTGCCCTTGAGCCACACCCCCCAAACCCTTAGCCCTTAGCCCCCTGCCTCTGCTTCAGAAGTTGTCTGCCAGTGTCCTGTGAGTTACCCACCAGCAATGTCATCTCCAGGCACCTCTTCCATCCACTGACCCCCTCCCTCCGACCCCCGAGTTTACTAACCCACTCCAGGAACCCCCTCCTAATTCTCCCCTTTCCCCTTCTGCCTCTGCCTACAGTCCTGGGGTCTCAATGGAGGGTCACTGACTGACTTCATGGGGCCCAGGAACCCCTGAAATTGTGCAACTGAGTGAGTCTGTGTGTGCGTACCCACATATTCTCGTAGCAAAGATCTACGACTTCTTTTGAATCCCCTGGAGAGTCTATGACCCCAGACTCTGAGGACCACTGGATTAGGGAGACAGGAAAGGTGCACTTTCTACCCCAAATTTCTCAGTCTGGGGCCTGTGGCTGCCTTAAAGGGTCATGAACCTTCACCACCCTTTACTCCATTTGTACATTTTTTTAGGGAGTGAAGTGAGCCCCCAGCTTTCATCAGATTCTCAAAGGGCTGTGTGAACCCAATACGCTGAAGGATCCTTGGCCTAGCCAGGGGTCCTCCTGGTCTCCCCTCTGCCCCCCAGGTCCCCAAAGGGCCTCCTGCAGATTCTTGTTTACATTGTCCACCCTCAGCCCCAGCTTGGGTGCGGTTCTCCCTGGTGAATCAGGAGGGCTGGCAGGGCAGGTTCAGGGAGGGAAGATCAGAGCAGAGGCAGGTGCGAAACCAGAGACCTCACATGGGGCTGGGAGCGGAGTCCGTCCTTCGGTTTGCGAGCTTGCCTGCGGCGTCCTTCTGCTGTCCCGGGGCCCCTGGCTGGAATCTGTTCTGAGACTGTTCCGTCCCCTCACCCTGCATGCCTTCCTTAGGGACGTGTTCACACATGTGGCCACAGCTGTGAGAGACAGACCTGCCTCAACGTGCCTGTGCCCGTGCAAAGGAGCCGACCCCTCCAGGGCCTTCTGCCATTGCTTCTCTCTGCCTGCCCTGTCACCTCCTTGGCATCTCAGAACGGCTGAGCTGGAAGTGGGTGAATAATAATAACAACAACAACAACAACAGCTAGCACACACTCCTGTCCAGCCCTGTGTTAAGCTCTTTGCTCTTATTAACTCATTTACTCCTCACAGCAGCCCTGTGAGGTAGATACTATTTTTTAAAATTTATTTCTTTTAGGCCGGGCGCGGTGGCTCACGCCTGTAATCCTAGCACTCTGGGAGGCCGAGGCAGGCGGATTGTTTGAGGTCAGGAGTTCGAGACCAGCCTGAGCAAGAGCGAGACCCCGTCTCTACTAAAAATAGAAAGAAATTAATCGGACAACTAAAAATATATAGAAAAAATTAGCTGGGCATGGTGGCACATGCCTGTAGTCCCAGCTGCTCGGGAGGCTGAGGCAGAAGGATCGCTTGAGCCCAGGAGTTTGAGGTTGCTGTGAGCTAGGATGACGCCACGGCGCTCTAGCCCAGGCAACACAGTGAGACTCTGTCTCAAAAAAAAAAAAAAAAAAATTTATTTCTTTTAGAGGTAGGATCTTGCTCTGTTACCCAGGCTGGAGTGCAGTGGTGTGATCATAGCTCACTGCAGCCTCCAACTCCTGGGCTCAAGGGATCCTCCTGCTTCAGCCTCCCAAGTAGCTGGGACTACAGATGTGTGCAACCACGCCCTGCTATTTTTTGAACTTTTTGTGGAGATGAGGTCTCACTATGTTGCCTCCAACTCCTGGCCTTAAGCGATTCTCCTGCCTCGGCCTCCCAAAGTGATGGGATTACAGGCATGAGCCACTGTGCCCGATCAAAGTAGATATTATTATTATCCTCTCTTACAGATGAGGAGACTGAGGCACAGAGAGGCCAAGTCTCTTGTCCAAGATCACACCTTGGAAGACACAGAGCAGAGGTTCAAACCCTTACTGTACGCCGGGCACTATTCTAAGTGCTTTAAAAGTGTTAACTCTTTGAATCCTTTACAACAGCACTATGAGATTGGGATTATTATTGTGTCCATTTTACAGATGAGGAAACTGAGGCATAGAGAGGCGAGGTCACTTGGGTTGGCCAAGTGAAGTCAAAGCAAGGATTCTAACTCGGTTCTGGCTGAGTTTCAAACCCATCCTTTTCACCCACTGGTATGTGGATCGGTCCCTACCTTGCCTCCCTCCCAGGCCTCCCTAGCTTCAGTTATCCTCAGTGGCCCAGCTCTGATCAGACACTTTCCCTGCTCAGCTGCCTTCCATGGCTTCCCAGGGCCTCCCCAAGAGCAACCAGGAGTCAGTGCTGCTTTCAGAGCTTCCCGCCTTCAGGCCTCTTCCCGGCTTTGGCTTCCCTCTCTCCACGTGACCCCTCTGCTGTAACCGAGCCTGAGTACATGCTGTTCCTTGAATACCCTGCTGCCGTCCTGCCGACGCACGTTGCTCAAGCTGTTCCCACTGCTGGAATACCCTCGCTTCCTCCTCCCTTAATTCCGACATCCCACTTGACCTTAAAGGCTCTGCTTCCCTTTTTCCTTTCCCCCTCCTTTCCTTCCTTCCTTTCTTCCTTCTCACTATCCTCTTCTAATCAAACAACAATCAGGCCCTGAGCCCCTACTATTTATCTGGTGCTATGTTGGCTTTGCTTGGGACACAGCAGTGACCAAGACACTAATGGGATTCCTAGGCCAGTGGGGGAGCCCCGAGTGGTCAGGGCTAGGCCAGACAGTGACAGCTTGGAGTGGTCAGACCTGGGATAGGGGAACCCCAGCCGGTTGTGGAACCCAGAGAGGTGACTGGTCCGACCTGGGGTATCAGAGAGGGCTTCCTCGAGGAGAGGGCATGTGAGCTGAGATCATCATGAAACCATCTGAGAAAGAGCCCAGATTAACCATTGGATCTAATATAAAGGGGAGAGAGAGAGAGAGAGAGAGAGAGAGAGAGAGAGAGAAGAGAGAGAGAGGAGAGAGAAGATAATAAATCTATTTATGATTAAAAAAAAAAAACAGTCTCAACTAACTTCCTTCAATACAAGAAGCTCTTATTATGTGTGCCAGACCATGTTCTGGGGACACAGTTGTGACCATGACAGCCCCAGTCCCTGCCCTCACAAGCTTGTAGTCCAGCAGGAGTATAGTGGGTAAGCCCCAAGGCAGTGGGGTCAGACCAGAGCTAGAACCCCAGCACTGTGCTGTGTGATGTTAAGCAAGTTGGTCCACCTCTCTGAGCCTGTTTCCTCCTCTGTAACATGGAGACAACAATTTTCCTGGGGTTGTGGTTTTAGGATTAAGTAGGTTATGGCACACTGAGTCTTTGTCATTGTGCCTGGAATGTTCCAGGTGGTTAGTAAACAGGAACTTTTATTAATCACCTCTTCCCCACGTCTGGCAGCTGTAGCAGGGATGGACTAGCCCTTCCTGAATCCTGAATTCTGATACTCTGACTCCCTGTTAACCTTTCCAGTGTCAGTTAGATGTCTGCTAGGTAGCTGGGCTCTGAAGGGGTAGGAGAGAAGAACATGACCTTGACCCTGGGGTGGGAGGGGGATGAGCCACACAGCTTCCTTCTCTGGAGGTGACCCACCCTCCCAATACTTGCTACGGGCCTTTATGTGCTTGGGGCACACAGGGTATTCGTGTGTGTGCCTGTGTGTTTGTGTGTTCGTGAATCAGACGCTAACCATGTCTTAAGAAGCTCTTGGTTGAGTCAGCATGGGGCAACTAAATCTCTGTTTTCTCCCATCCAAGTATTAACCATGCCTGACCCTGCTTAGCTTCCAAGATCAGACGAGATTGGGCTTCTTCAGGGTGGTATGGCCGTAGACATAAATCTCTGTTTTCTGTTTGCTTCTCTGGTATTCTATTGCGCGGGCGCTCTCTCTCTCTCTTTCTCTCTCTCTGTTTTGTCATTAACTTTTATCTATGTCTATCTTTCTGTCTTTCTTTTTTAGCAACTCTATGCTATCTCCGTATCAGTCAGGGTAGGCCAGGATTTGCTGTAATAACAAACAGCCTCCAGATCTCAGTGACTTACAACAAAAGAATTATTTTGGTTCCCACTACACATTGGCCATAGGTCAATGGTGGTAGGTGGCCATAGGTGGTGGGTGAGGGGCTCTGCTCCAGGCTGTCTTCATGCAGGGGCCAGGCTGTGAGAGCTTCTGTTTCTCCTCACATTCCCCACCTCTGGAAGGTGGAAGAGTTGGAGCCGTGTGCTGAACAGCTCTCATGACCGCCACAGTCTCCGTCTCTGTTCCTGCCTTTGTTGTCACTTTGTCATCTATCTCTCTTTATGTCTCTCTCTGTGGTCAGCCTCCATCCATCATTTTCCCCAGAAGGCCTGACCTGGGTTAGGGGCAGAGATGGGGCTCCCAAGTTTGGGGAGTGTGTATGTGTGGGGGAAGATTTGGCGGGTGTTACCGCAACCAAACCCGGCCTATCCTTACTCATAAGGGAAAGCCAGAGAGACGCAGATACCAAGGAAGTGACGACAGAGAAAGAGAGAGAGAGCAATGGACAGAGACCTTCCCCCACCTTTGCGGAGGCCTTTGGGTGCTCTCATGATTGCTGACCTGAGTGGGGCTCACTCACCCCAACAAGCTTGGGGACAGTGATCCCCGGAAGCGCCCTGGCCCTGGAAAGACCCCAGTTCCACCTTCATTCCCTCTCATGGCAGCACCCCCGGCACCTTCCCTCCCTGGCCTTGGCTCTGACCCCACCCTGCTCTGCCCCACACAGAGCAAACCATGGAAGAAGCTGAAGACAGTTCTGAAGTATTCGCCCTTCGTGGTCTCCTTCCGAAAACACTACCCTTGGGTCCAGCTTTCTGGACACGCCGGTGAGAGCGGGGCTCGTGGTGGGCGGGACTAGGCAGAGAAACCTTTGCACACCACCCCTGGCCATAATTTTGAGAGTCGCAGGGAGGGATTACAGGAGGGTCAGGCAAGGTGATGGTAGCCGGGGTCTGATGCATACAGGGAGATGGGGACGATTCTCTTTCCGGTCCAGTTTCTGACTGTCTCATTGATCCTGCTGCCCATAGGGAACTTCCAGGCAGGAGAGGATGGTCGGATTCTGAAACGCTTCTGTCAGTGTGAGCAGCGCAGCCTGGAACAGCTGATGAAAGACCCCCTGCGGCCTTTTGTGCCAGCCTACTATGGTGTGGTGCAGCGGGATGGCCAGACCTTCAACCAGATGGAAGATCTCCTGGCAGACTTCGAGGGCCCCTCCATTATGGACTGCAAGATGGGCAGCAGGTGGGGTCACGGGCAGCCGTGAGGCAGGGGTGGAGGGTAGGGGGTGGGTATTTTTGAAAATAGTCAAAAGTCAATTTTCAAAGTCGTACCAGTGTACATTCCCACCAGCAGGGTAGGAGAGTTCCAGTTGTTCCATATTCTCACCAGTATTTGGTATTGTCTGTTTTATTAGTTTAAACCGTTCTGGTGAGTTTGTAGTGGTATCTCACTGTGATTTTAATTTCTATTTCTCTGATGACCAAAGAAATTGAGTATATTTCCATATTTTGGAAAATCTTTTAAAAAGGGCCTGGTTGAATCTTTTGCCCATTTTTCTGTTGGGCTTTTTCTTTTTAATCTGTAATTCTTTATGTATTCTAGATATAAGTCCTTTGTTGGATACACACACACACGTATATATTCTCCAACTCTCCCATTCCACTCTTTTTTTTCTTTCTTTCTTTTTTTTTTTTTTTTTGAGATAGGTTCTTGCTCTATTGCCCGGGCCAGAGTGCTAGCTCATAGCAACCTCAAACTCCTGGGCTCAAGCAATCCTCCTGCCTCAGCCTCCTGAGTAGCTGGGACTATAGGCGCACATCACGACACCCGGTTAATTTTTCGATTTTTAGTAGAGATGGCGTCTCACTCTCTCTCTCTCTTTTTTTAATCTGGTCAGTAGACTGGATGGAAGGTGTCTCACTCTTGCTCAGGCTGGTGTTGAACTCCTGACCTCAAGCGATCCTCCCACCTTGGCCTCCCAAAGTGCTAGGATTACAGGCATGAGCCACCGCACCTGGCCTCCATTCCACTCTTTCAATAGTGTCTTTTGATAAACAGAAGTACTTGTAATTTAGTCCAGTTTGTCAATTTTTTCATTATGGTTAGTGGGTTTATGTTTAGGAAATCTTGTCTGCTCCAAGATCACGATGATATTCTCCTGTGTTCCCTTCTACAAGCTTTACTCTTACAACTTTCACGTTTAGACCTGCGATCCATCTAGAATTAATTTTTGTGTGTGGTAGGAGGTAGGGACAGGGGTTCATTTTTTCCCATATGGATGTCCTGTTGACCCAGCACCAATTATTGAAAAACTTCCCCGTCCCCGCTAAAGCGCAGCGCCTTCCTTGTCATAGCTGGGTGGACATCCATGTGTGTCCGTTTGTGGACACCATTGTATCACGTCGATCTAGTTGTCCACTCTTGTGCTGCACGGTAGCTTTATGATACGTCTTGACGTCGGGAAGTATAAGCCCTCCAGCTGTGTTGTTCACAGTTTCCTTTGTCACGTCCTCTGTGTGCTCAGGACCTACCTGGAGGAGGAGCTGGTGAAGGCGCGAGAACGGCCCCGGCCCCGGAAGGACATGTACGAGAAGATGGTGGCTGTGGACCCTGGGGCCCCCACCCCTGAGGAGCACGCCCAGGGTGCGGTCACCAAGCCCCGCTACATGCAATGGAGGGAAACCATGAGCTCGACCTCCACCCTGGGCTTCCGGATCGAGGGCATCAAGGTGAGGGCCGGGAGCCGGCCAGTCACGAGAAGGCCCAGAACCAGATTGAGGCTTCTCGGGGAACGTGGGCATCAGGGAAGGCTGGAAAGCAGCAAGATCTGGAGAGAGCACAGGAGACCGCAGAGGACGGAAGGGCCAGGGCTAGGGAGGGCCCACTTCTCTGTCTTGCCCACATCCATCAGAGCCCAAGTTTTGCTTTTCCATCTGCCCGAGCATCTCCTGATTCCGTTTTCTCCTCTCCCTCCCTGTGGCCATGTCCCAGTCCAGCCCTGTCTTCTCCTGCCCCAGCTTCTCGGGGCTCCTGGGACCTGGTCTCCCCACAACACAAGAGCTGGAGGGATCCTTTTCCCCCAGCTGTGGAGGTTTCTCTTTTTCCTTCTTGCATTCTTTTTGTGTTGTCGTAAGTTAAATGTAATTGTTTGAATAGCGAGTCCCACAGTTCAGAAGTCAAAATACTGTTATGAAAAGGTATACAGGGAGAAATGTCCCTCCCAACTCTGCTGCTTTCCTTCCCATTCCCTCTCTCCACCCTCCTGCCTGCTTGCAGCGAACCACGTTATCAGTGTCTTGTATTTCTCCTGCAAATACAAATAAATGCAATTGCATATCCTAAATCTTCCTCAGTATTACACACTGATTGGCACTTTGCTTTTTTCACTTAACAATAATATCCTGGAGAGTTTTCAAGATCATTCCATAGAGACTCTCCTGTTTCCTTTTTTTTTTTTTGTTTACAGCTGTTTAATACTCTTCTTTGTGGAGGTGCTACAGTTGCCGATAGATGGGCACCTGGGTTGTTTCCATTTTTTGCCATTACAATGCCTCAGTGAATCACTTTGTACATAAGGCATTTTGCAAGTGTGTGGGTTCAGCTGTAGCTTGCATTTCCAGAAGTAGGAGTACTGGATCAAAGATGAAATGCACTGGTACTGTGCTAGAGATGATCAAACTTCTTTACTGCACATCCCACCCGCAGTGCATGAGGCGCTGTTTCCCCGTGGCCTTGCCTGAGCCATCTTTCTAAGTTCCAAATCGACTACGACATTCTCCTGTTCAAAACCCTTCCACGGGCCGGGCGCGGTGGCTCACGCCTGTAATCCTAGCACTGTGGGAGGCCTAGGCGGGTGGATTGTTTGAGCTCAGGAGTTCGAGACCAGCCTGAGCAAGAGCGAGACCCCGTCTCTACTAAAAATAGAAAGAAATTAATCGGACAGCTAAAAATATATAGAAAAAAAAAATTAGCCGGGCATGGTGGCGCATGCCTGTAGTCCCAGCTACTCGGGAGGCTGAGGCAGAAGGATCACTTGAGCCCAGGAGTTTGAGGTTGCTGTGAGCTAGGCTGACGCTACGGCACTCACTCTAGCCTGGGCAACAAAGTGAGACTCTGTCTCAAAAAAAAAAAAAAAAAAAAACCCTTCCATGGCCCCCTGGCCCCCTTAGGAGAAGTGTCATGGCCTATAGGGCCGTCCAGGCTCGAGCTACGGCTCTCACTCCTCTTCCTTCCTGTCTACCTGCAGGCACAGGGAAGCACTTTCGCTTCCTGGAAGTGGGCCTGTGTTTTCCTGCCACAGGGCTTCTGCACATGCTGCTCCCTCTATCGTTCCCCCGGTCAACTCTCATTTTCCTCTCCCCTTTCAAATTTTGCTTCCTCAGGGAAGCCCTCCCTGATTTCCATCCTCCTATATCAGGACTCCCTCTTTGCCTCCTCTTAGTCCCCTGTTCCCCATCATTATTCACGCCTTCCTTCGTGACAATCTTATTCGACGTCTGTCTCCCTCAGACATGGTGAGGCTGTGTCTGTCCTGTTACCGCCGTATTACCAATGCCTACGTAGCACCTGGCACACTGTGGCCAAATGACTTAGGAGGCTTCTCTCAAACATGAAAAATAACATTGGTCTCATTTCCTGAGTGCTCACCGACTGTGCCAGCACCATGCTCTGCATCCTACACTAGGCTAGGTCTCCTAATCCTTAACCAGCCTTAGGAAGTAGATAGCAACACAATCCCCATTTTCCAGATGAGGACACTGAGGCTGAGGCAGGTGAAGTGACTTGCTTAAGACTGCCCAGCTAGAAAGTAGCTGAGTCACTGCTCAAAGCCAGATCCGTGCCCTTCCAAAGTCCACTTTGCTAGACTGGCTCGACCTGGAGATTCAAGGTTGGAAGAACTTGGAAGGCTGGTTGCTCAGGAGCGTGACTTGGGGCTGGGTTGAGCTGGACTGAGCAGGTGGAGTGGCTTCCTCTGAACAGCAAGCAAGGTGGAGGCAGGCGGGTGGCCCCGGGAGGTGCCGGAAGTTGCTGGATATTGGGGGTGGGAAGGAAAAGGCATTACACTGCCCCTTCACCCCTTACCCCACAGAAAGCTGATGGGACCTGCAACACCAACTTCAAGAAGACGCAGGCGCTGGAACAGGTGACACAGGTGTTGGAGGACTTTGTGGATGGGGACTGTGGCATCCTGGTGAGTGGGACACCCCATGTGCCAACACACAGCAGCTTAAGACAATCCCGATTTATCGTTGCCCCCGAGTCAATGGTCTCGTGTTATGGGTGGAGCTTGGCTAATACTGGCTGGCTTTGCTCACACAATCTGCGGGTCAGCTGGTGGCTTGGCCAAGGCTGGCTGGTCCGGGGTGGCCTCTCTCCCATGTCTGCCGGTTGGCTCGCCATCTTGGCTCATGACTTGGGCACACTTCTCTCATGGTCCAGCATCCTAGCTTGGGCTTGTTCTCGCGTGGAAGCAGGGGTGCCGAGAGAGCAAGTGAAAATGCAAGGCATCTTGATGGCTGGGCTCAGAGTGGTCACTGTCATTTCTCCCACATTCTTTTGGCCAGAGCAGGTCATGTGACCAAGGCTGGATTAAAGGGAAAGGGAGACAGACTCCACCTGTCTGTGGGATTGGGTACTCGTGTAATCCACTGTCTGTACCTCCTGGGTAAATCCAACCCCTCACTTGCCTTGCCCCCGATTCTCCCCAGGATGGCTCCCCTATTCCATCCTGGCTGGAGTCTGCCCACTCCTTTGGGGGCATGGGATGAGGCCAGAGCCCAAGGTGGACAAGGGCCCAGTGTCCATGCTAACCGAGGCACCTTCTCTCTACCACACAGAGAAAGTATGTGGCACGCCTGGAAGAACTTCGTGACGCTCTGGAGAACTCCCCCTTCTTCAAGACCCATGAGGTGTGAGCCCCGGCCACCACGGGTGTACATGGGGGGTTTCAGGGCCCTGGGGGACACAGCAGGGAGGCCGTCGATAGTTACAGGCCAAAGCTATAAAAAGGAGGCCTCATATTTTGGGGTCCAGAAAAGGGAATTTCAGGGAGCTGTGATAGTTGGGAGCATGGACTCAAGCCCAGGGGGCCTGGGAACAAAGGCTAGCTTACTCTCTTGTGCCTCAGTTTCCCCCTCTTGAACGCGGGGAGGAACATTAGTACCTTACTCATGGGGCTGCTGAAGTGTGAGACCGTAGAGCGACATTTGGAGCATAGAAGTGTGTTTTAACTCCAACCTCTTACAATTATTGTACAATTATTGATAATTATTGTTATTTGCCCCCTTGTTTGGTGGCTCTTGCCCTTCCCTTTCCCCCATGCTCCCAGCCTGTCTCTCTTAAGAAACATTGATCTCTCCGAGGCTGTGTGGGAGAATCTGTGCAGTGGTGGCCTCCTCTCCTCTCTCTGGGCACCCTGTCTCCCCCTCAAGCCCCTCTCACCCCTTCTTCCTGATATTGCTGACTTTTCTGAAAGGGCATGGATCTGGGAGTCAGGCCAACCCAGGTTCAAATCCCAGCTCTGCCACTCCCTAGCCCACCTGTACCTGGGAAGCCATCCTAGGAGGCCTCAGTCTCCCGACCTGTAGGGTGGGGTAGCAGCAACATCTGCCTCATGGGCGCCGTGAAGGTTAAATGGGTCAAAATAGTTAAAGCCTGGCCCATAGCGAACCATGGCTATGTGACAGCTGCTTTGGTCACTTTTGTTTTTATCAAATGTCACCCTTGTCATCCTTGTCACTCGTTTCAGGCTTTATGTGGGAGTTACAAAGAGGAGGCCTGGGGATCCCATCTCTTCTGTCCTTGTGTTTAGTTTCACCTGTCTGGTGACTTAACATTTTAAAAACTGAGTTGCCACCATTTAAAATGTGAGGCTTCACACCCAAATCGGGATTTCCAGTTTCCTCTGACAACGTGGGAGACGCGGCAACGCTCTTGCCAAATGCCAACAGCCATCGGGAGCTGGGCAGTCTCTGCCTCTTCTGACAGGCGCCTGCTCACCTGCCCAGTAATCTGGGTTTTCTAGGAGCAGTGATGTTTGCGAACTGACTTAGGAAGAGGGAGGGACCGACAATCCTGGACTCAGGTGAAGGGAAAACAAAATAAAAGCAGCATCCACCGAGGGCTCACTGTGTGCCAGGCACTCGTGGAGTGTGTGGATCACGGGTGCTGCCGGCCACTTAGAATGGTGCACAGCTTAACACATTAACTGCCATGTGAGTTGCATTTAACTCACGTTAGTTTTGAGCCTGGGCCCTGGCGAAGCACATGTAACTCACACGTCTCTTTACCTTGGGAGCCGCGTGGTGTGCAGGCAACTCGTGCTGCCATGCCGTAGCACACGTGTTATGTCATGGGTGGCCCCCAGGCAAAACCCTGCAGTTGGTCCGTGAAAATCTTACTTGTTGATGTTCTTATTGTTACAATTAATAACGCCAATTTAGTTGCATATAAGTCATGCACAGAAAACGATAATAACAGATTTTTCATTAAATTAGATAGTTTTGTTTTTGAGGTTTTTATTCTATTTTTGTAATAAAACACCATGGCCCCAAGGGAAAAAATTTTTTTTTCTAGTGTGGCAGTCAATGTGTTAAAACTTATGAATTGTTTCTGGAATTTTCCATTCCACATTTTTGGACTGTGGTTGACCAAGGGCAGTTGAAGCTGCGGAAAGTAAACCTACAGATTGGGGGAATGACTGCATTATTCTCACTTTGTGTATGAGGAAGCAGAGCCACAGAGAGGTTAAGACACCTGCGAAGGCTGCACAGCCAATAAGTGACCAACCAGGATTTGAACTCAGGCAGCCTGGCTGTCAGCCACACTGCTCCTGCCCCTAACCTCTGGTCTCTCCCCCTGCAGGTGGTGGGCAGCTCCCTCCTTTTTGTGCACGACCACACTGGCCTGGCCAAGGTCTGGATGATCGACTTTGGCAAGACAGTGGCCCTGCCTGACCACCAGACGCTCAGCCACAGGCTGCCCTGGGCTGAGGGCAACCGTGAGGACGGCTACCTCTGGGGCTTGGACAACATGATCCGCCTCCTTCAGGGTCTGGCCCGGAGTTGACCCACTTGGCCATCTCCAGGTTTATTTATTAGATGGTACCAGTCCGGCTAGAGGAGCCCCGAAATGCCATGGGGGCCTGAGAGGTTGGCAACCGGGAAGCTGACCCCCAAGGATGGGAGAGGTTGTGTCGTACGCCACATAAGACCAACGTGGAAAGGCCTCGGGAGACCAGGTAGCATCTGGTCCCTTTGTGATACAGGGGCTGGAAGGACCACAGAGGGGGCACGATGAGGCTTATACAGTGAGACGGCAGAACAAGAACAGGTCCCCTGAGCAGCAAGGAAGGTTTCTGAGGGGCTGCTGGAGGCCACAGCCAAACCACACTGCCCTGAGAGGACATAATTCAGAATTCACGCGGTCAGGTGTGACACGGTGCCTTTGGCTGTATGAATGACTTATAACCTGCCTCCTTGTTGGCCCCCCACCAGCGGCAAGCTGGCTCCCTGAGGCCAGGGACTGGGTCAGATTCACCTTTGGTGCCCCCCAGGATCAGGCATTGTTTGTGGACAAACACAGGGGCCACTTGTCCACCTGGGGAGAGTGACAGCCCAACTCTTCATCTGGGAGCCATTCAAGGACTGAGCAGCGCAGGGTGTGACACCATGGGACTGGACGATGCCCCAGGGCTGATGCCGCTGGGTGGGGCACAGTTCACTGCTGTTCTGCCCTGCCGTGGCCCCGTGATCCTCCCTACTCCTCGGAGGACTCTGCTGACCTCCTGCAGACGCACAGCACAGCCACATCCCAGCACTGTGACGGTACCACCTCGCTCCTCGGTACCGCAGGTCTGCCCAGGCCCTGGGCTTTCGTCTCCTTCCTCCCAGCAAACTGCATGGCACAAAGGAGGTTCAGGGGCAGGGGAGCAGGTGTCCTCCCGTGACTCAGAGCTGCCCTGCTCAGGGGGGCCCCCACCCGATCAGGGGCCCCTCTGAAACGTGCCAGACATGGGCCTGAGACACAGGGTGGCCGGGTGGGCTAACACCCTGGTCCAAACCAAAGACTCCAGAACTCTCAGGTGTGGTCAATGGCCCATCTGTCCCACTCCTCTGTCCCACTCGTAGCTTTGGCTTCCTGGCCCACAAGGGCGGGCTTGGGGAGGACAGGCAGCTACCTCTTCCCTAAGCTGAAGCTCCAACACTGTCTTCCAGGGCTGAGGAGATGTACTCCTTTTCTACTGACCATCTTTATACTTATTTATACAAGAGGTAGTTGTTAGGTGGGGGAGTGTTGGGGAAGCAGGAGGCACATGGCACTGCCGTGCCTCCTGCCCATGGTGACACCCCAATAAACATGACACTCAGAGTGAGCATTGTGGGGTCTTTTTCTTTCGCATCTGGAGTGTACATGCTCAAATCTGTAGTTCAAGCATTAGTGCGGGGTGGGGTATTGGGATGATGATCAGTGTGGCAGAGAGCGGCAGGCTCAGAGCCAGCTGGTTCATTCATTCGCCACTCACTGAGTGGCTAGTCTCGTGCCTGGCTCTGTGTTGGACAATGCAGGGCACACAGTGGTGACATCTCCAAGCCTTGCCCTCAGGGCTCCCAGGACAGCATACCAGATGGGTAGTGCCACCAAAATACCAGGGTTGGGATGGGGGACATGCCTATTCCTTACCTCACTCACGGGTTACAAACACTACACAGCAGTTTCCCTAAATGAGATCCTCTGCTGGACACTGGGGACACAGCAGTCATCAAGACAGACCTGTCCTCTTATTTCAGAGTGGAGATGACAGGTGCTCATTAAACTAATAATCACACGCATCAGCACCGTAACTAACTTCAAGGAGCCAGGAGACAGCCTGGCTGATGGTTAGACACTAACTCTCGGTTTAAATCCTGACTCTGGGCCCGGGGCAGGGGCTCACGCCTGTAATCCTAGCACTCTGGGAGGCCGAGGTGGAAGACTGCTTGAGCTCAGGAGTTTGAGACCTGGGTCTCTACTAAAAAAAAAAAAAAATAGAAAAAAAATTAGCTGGGCAATTGAAAATAGAAAAAATTAGCCAGGCGTGGTGGCACACACCTGTAGTCCCAGCTACTAGGGTGGCTGAGGCAGGAGGATCGCCTGAGTCCAGGAGTTTGAGGTTGCTGTGAGCTAGGCTGATGCCATGCAACTCTAGCCCGGGCAACAGAGCAAGACTCTGTCTCAAAAAAAAAAAAAAAAAAATTCCTGACTCTGTCACTTGCCAGCTGCATGACCTCAGGCCAGTGACTCCACTTCCCCAGGTCTCAGTCTTGCCATCTGTCAAATGTAGGGAATCTAGTTCCCTCTTAAAAGGCTGGAGGATCTGATGAGTTAACACAGGTAGAAGGGTTAGCATAGACAACTGCTCTCAGATGGGCTTTAAAAATCTAAGACACGAGGTTGGGGAGGGGTGCCTGGACAGGCTGAGGGTCCCTGAGGAGGTGATACCCGCCAAGACGGAGAAGTTAGAGAGTGATCTTCAGCAGAGGGCTGAGGGTGAGGCTGGTGGGGGGCACGACGCTCTAGGGCCCCGAAAGGCCAGCAATGCTGGCAGGCAGAGTGTGGAAGACCAGCCGGGGCTAAGGAGAGGTGAGCTGGGGCTGGGAGAGCTCAGGCCCTGTCCTGTGAGCAAACCGGGGGAGCAGCAGAGGGTCCAGGCAGGAGGTTCCTGCAGATGTCTAGTAAGGTGACCGTGGCTTAGAAGAGGGGGTCCCCAGGGAGAATGTGATGTGACACAGGTGGGGTGGACAAGTCGTGGGGTCTGAGTTGTCAGTCTCTCCTTGGAGAGAGGGATCAGTGGGTGCTCAGTGCTGGAGGGGATGGGCTTGGGGAGTTGAGACGATGCCCAGGCTTGAGACGGGGTGGACGGGGACCACCCTGATGAACAATCTCTGGGCTGGAGGCCCTCATGGGTCCCAACCTATGGCCTGTCGCACAGAGGGACAAGCTGGGGCACTCTTCAAATGGTGACGGAGCCAGGCTAGTGGCTGGAGCCCCGTGGTCCGAGCAGCAGGGCCTGGCCACAGAGGCCAGCCCGCACCCCGCCAGTGGGCACCACGTACGTCTGACCATTGGAGGCCCGTGAGGGCGAGAAGTCTGTCAGCTGCAGGTTGCTATCCCGGACTTGGTCGTAGTCCCACAGCTGGTAGTGCCAACTCTTGCCCTGCTTGGAAAGAAGGTAGACAGCTCCCGGGGAGCCTTCCTCTGGCAGGGATGGTGGCTGGCAAGGCAGGCCGGGCACTGGGTGGAACAGGCCTGGCAACTCGGGGTCCTCAGCGTAGCCGAGGCTCGGCACAGCCTGCACACCCAGCAGGACCCCTGGGGGAGAGAAGGAGGGGGTGAGTGGCAGGTGCCTGAGCCATGACTACGTGCTGGGGCCACTGCACCCCACCCCTCCCAGTCCTCTGGGGGCCGGGGGGTGGGGGGCTTCCTCTATCCCCAAGTTACAGAGAAGTCAGCAGCAGCCAGTGAGCCAGTGAGCACACGGCTGGGCTGGGATGTGGACCCAGGGAATCTGGCTCCAGAGCTGCAGGCATTTTAAGTCCTGCCTCCTCTGGCCCGTTGGCACAGGGAAGGCAGAGAGCCAGCATTAGATGGAGCATATGCTGTCACCGGGTCATCTCCAGCTGTCTAGGGAACAGAGGCTCCGAGAGCCTTCAAGGACACACAGAAAAGCCTCCACCCAGGCCTCCTGACATGCACAAACCTGGCTTCCTTCAGGCAGGAGGAATGATGACAATGCCGATAATGCTTATGGAGACACGTCACATGCCGAGCACTGTTCTGAGAGTTCTGCATGCTCTGCCTATAAGGCAGCCCTGTGAGGTGGGTACTATTGTCACCCTTGATTTCCAGACAGGGAAATGGAAGCCCAAAGAGGTGAGGAAACTTGCCCAGAGCCACAAAGCCTGGAAGTGGCTGGGCTGGGCCTGGAGCCCAGACCGTCTGATCCTAAAGTCTGTGCTCTGAGCTTCTGTCCATGCAAACACCTGAGGTACCTGCTTTCTGCCAGGTTCTGTGCTAAGAACCCTGTGGGGACGAGGATGGCTCAGCTCTCGTCCCTGGCTTGAGTGCACAGCCTGGCTGGGGAGACCCAGAGTGATGGGTACAGGGACAAAGGAAAAAGGACCCACCTGCGCTCACTGCCCAGTGGGCCTTGTGTCCCTTCCTCCGACATGGCTCGTGGTTGAAGTCCTCATCGTAGCTGGTGCCGGTGTTAAGGCCAAAACTGTGGCATGGCCCTGGGCCCACCCTTTGCCATCCCTGCCCTACTCCCTACTGGGCTCTGGGATACGGGATGAGCAAGGGATGTCCAGTGACAAGGTGCTGCAGGACAAGGTCTCTGTTGGGACCACCCAGGCCACCGCAGAGCAGCTTGGTCTGGCAGCCCAGCACCTCCTGGGCCAGCCTGCCCATGTCGGCCACTGCAGAGTGACAGCACACTCAGAGGGTTTGCTCTGTGCCTGACACTATGCCACGGGCTCGCCAGGCAGGGATCAACGCCTCCAACCCTCACTGTGACCAGCTCGGTACAAAGAGGGTCAGCTGCTTGTCCATGGCCATAGTGAGGAGGCGGTAGAACTGGATTTGGAACCTATGTAGCTGGCTCGAGTCTACCTGATAACCACTCTGCTCTACTGGGCAGGGAGAAGGGCCTGAAGAATGGAATGAGAGCCCCTCACTCGCCTGCCAGCACCCCACCTGGCCTCTCTGGCCCCCCTAGTGAAGGGCTAACAGAGCATCTGGCATGAGCCCCTTCCCCACCCAACTCACCGGAGAACATCTCTCCCTGGGCCGTGTAGCCTCGCTCCAGGGCCACCTGCACCAGTCTCTCCAGGGGGATGCCGCTGGGGGGCAACAGGAGAGTGCCTGCCATCCACAAGGCCACCAGCCCACACCTGGGGACAGACAGGCCCAGTCCCTCAACCCTTAAGTCATGGGCCCGCCCTGGCCCTGGAAGCTGGAGTAGGGGAACAGACTTGCTACCCTGGGCGAGTTCTCCTCCCCTCTCCCAGGCCAGGTGGGGAGCCCAGACTCCCACTCGTGGGAGAGGACTACCAAGGCCCGAGTCCAGGGCTGCAGGGCTGGTGGAAGGGTGGGGAGAGGTCACCTGAGCTTCCTGGGAGTAGGTGCCAGGGGGAAGTTAGAAAGATGGGCCAGGTTCATTTGTTCACTCGCTTGCTCATTAGTTCCAACTGTTTACCACGCCTGCACCCAGGCCCCTGATGTGGGAAGTTCTCCTTTTCCCTCCCACCCCTCCTCCCTAGGCTGTCTGTGATGCACCCACTCCCCGCGTCCTCCCAGGTCCGTCCTCAGGAAGCCCAGCAAAGGTAGAGCAAGGGCTGCCAATGGGGTGGGAGTCCCACATGAGGGCACATACTGAGGGCCTTCTTGGATGAGGGATGGCAGGTCAGCACAGAAGAGGATCCACTGCAGGTCACTTCGGAACCTGAAGAAAAGCCACAGTTGGGTCACGAGGGAACTAGCTCCAAGAGTCCCCCCTTAATCTCTGGCTGGGAGAAGGGTGTCCAGGTGAAGGGAACACAGGCCTGGCTGTCCTGAGGCCAGAGGGCTGCTCCTGGCTCAGTCACTGACTTCTCCTCCACGAGCCTCAGTTTCCTCATCTGGCCAATGCGGATCATCTTTCTGCCTGCCTGCTCCCTGCTCCTTCTCTGTTATTGAAGGGTGAAGAACAGGCAGATGTGCAGACTTTGCAACTGGGAGCCAGAAAAGCTTATTTCAGGAAATTTCTCAAATGAATATCTCTATACCCAAACTCTACCTGTGATCTTTTCTTTTCTCAACTCTGTTTCTCAGGCTGTTAAACAGGGTAAAGATCTCTTAATTCAGTCTTGAGTAAAACCAGGTATTAATAACATGCTTACAGCCTAAGAGATCACCTTGATAATAAATCTTTGCACCCTGGGGAGGCCACCCAGACAGTTTTGGTGATTCCAATCCCCCAGGTCTCAGGAGGGATCGTGCTTTTATTCCTATTCCAAGGCTAGACAGGGGGCAAGGCTGAGGGGATGACCCAGAGCTCCTGGTCCCCAGCTTGGGGCACCCTCCTGACGAAAGGAGATGATACCACAGAACTGTGGGTAAAAACACAGAGCCCTGCTTCCAGAGTTCAAATTAGATTCTTCCTTTCCTTTTCACTGTGGCTAAGTATTTCATCTTTATGAGCCTCAGTTTTCTCACAGGGAAAATAAGACAATAATAACTCCTACCTCATGGAGTTGCTGAAAGGATTCAATAAACTAATACTTAAAAACACAACAGTGCCTGACATAGGCTAGGCATGCAATAACGGTGGCTCTTATTTGCATTAAATTTGCCTTATCTTGGTTGGAGCATTTAGGGCAGATTATAAATGCGTCTGGAGAGTGTAGAGTTTCATTGTGAGTCTGGGCACCTCACTGCTCCCTTTTCCCTTCAGCCAGGCAATCATTAAACCGTGTCCCCACGGCCCCAGCAGGGGTCTAGAACCCTCCTCTCCTCTCCTCTCCTGCTTGGGTCCCTGGGTGCTCCAGCTTCCTCTCTGGGTCTGTGGACTCCCATCTCATGACTGCCACTTCCTATAGGTAGCCTCCCTCCCTGTGCAAAGCCCTTCCATGGCTCCCCAGTGCCCTGAGGACAGCCCCACTGCCTTCACATGGCCCAGCACGTCCTGTGTGAGCTGGTTCGTGCCCACCTTTGCAGCCCCATCTTTGCCACTTCCTCATGTTAAGGAAACATTTGCAGTTCCTCGAATAGAACATGTCCTCATTTCACTCCGGGCCTCTGCACAAGGTGTTTACTCTTATCACATATCCCTTGTCTGACTTGCTCAACAGCACTCAGGGTTCCCCTTCCCCAGGAAGCCCCCCAGCCTGGTGAGATACCTCCCTGGGCTCTGTCACATCAGTCCTGACCTCTTGGCTGTCACTGTCTGGTGGGGTGGACAGTCTGCTTCTCCCACTGGACTAGGCACTTGTGGGGGCAGCTCTCATTGCTGGAGGCATACCACCACTCAAGGGGGCCAGGTAGGGGACTGAACCAGTCAGCCTGTTTGACCTTGAGGAAACAAGAAACTCCAAGAGATGACTTGAGTGATCTGGGGAGAGGTGACTGGGTGAGCCCCTGGGTGGGTGGGGTGGGGCATGGAGACCCTACCGGTCTTTGTGCAGCTTCAGGAGCCTCTTCACATCTTCTTTGCCCTTGGGGACTGGGCCAGCCTTCTCCAAAGCCTCCTTCAGGAGCTGGCTCTTCTCCAGGCCGAAGACATGAGGGGGAGCTGCCCCCTTGGCAGGGGGTGGAGGCAGCGGTGGAGGTGGTGGAGGAGTAGGGGCCTGGAGACTCCAGGGAGGGGGTGGAAAAGCTGGGTCTGGAGGACTTGGGGGTAGGAGAGGAGGTGGAATGATGGGGGCTTGGGGTGCAGGGGCTCCTGGAGGAGGGATTGCTGGTTTTAGGGGAGAGCACGGAGAAGTCATTTTGGGGTCTACAGGAGGAACTGAATGAAGGGTTGAGAATGGGAGAGGCAAGGATCCTTCAAAAGGGGTTGGTCTCAGAAATACAGATTTTAAAGGTTTTAGAGCTGAGCTCCAGAATTTGGGGGCTAAGCACTGGGTCTGAAAGAACCAGGGCTAAAATTTTAAACCATGGATGCAGGGAATGGGGCTGACTCAATTCATGTAGGATCTGACGGTTAGTTAACAGGGTGGTATCGGCCTGGGGCAGGTTGGGGTGCGTTGGGAGGTTTAGGGAGGGAAATTTAGTAGGACTTACTAGAAGTTAACTCATTATCTGGGGCTAGATTTGGGAACTCATGGGCCAATTACTGGATATGAAGATCTGGAGTGAGGGACCTAAAGGGTGAGACTTAGGGGCCCATGGCTAAAGATTTAGGGAATTCAGGTCTTGTACCCCCTCACATCCCAGGCCCGAGTTTGGAACCTTTGAGCTGACCTTTGAGTCAGAGGTCAAGAGGTCAAAAATGACACCCGGCAGGGAAAATGGCCTAGTTGTGGAGAAGGTCCTGGAATCACAGAACAACAGGATAAGTCTGTTGGTTGGAGAAGACTCTGAGATCCGAGGCTGGAAGGAGCCGCGACAAGCGCTAGAAAAGAAAGGAGTCAGGAAATTAGACGCGCCTCCCAGTCCCGCAAAATGGCGGCCCCCACACACCACTTTCCCATGTCACGTGGTAGCACTCGCAACACATGCCCGCCCCTTGGCGATTACGTGACAGAAAATGCTAGCCGGTGGGGAAGAGGTGTGGCTTCCAAAGTACTGCCTCCGGAAGAGACGGCAGGGCGACCCGCGTCCCGATTGGCAAGAAACTCGAGACCGTCACTGATTGGTCCGTAGGGCCGAGAGCGGCTGCAGGAGCGGGGCTTGCAGGCGGTGGGGCGGGTTTTTCTGCCTAGGCGGGAGCCCAAGTGTCGTTTTGATTGGCCAGATCTGAACCCAGGGACGAGACTTATTCCGATTGGTCAAGCTATTCATTTTCCACGCAGGGATTGGCTTGCAGAAAAGCAAAGGCGGGGCTAGGCGAGAAAGCTTTGTGGTCTGTTCTCCAGAAGGAAGCAGGAGCGCTTGCGTGAACTGCAGCGCTGTTGGTTAGTGACCTCGGGTGTAGGCGACCATCGGCACAGGGCGGTGGGTGCGCTTGACGTCCGGGCCTTCCCGCGCCTCGTCTGGGGAAACTTGCTGCGCGAGGCCAGGGCGCCAAAACTCGTCCCACCGTCCCTAACTGGCTTTTACATCCGGGTTTCCTCTCCCCCCCTCCCCCCACTTTGGGCGTGTGGGCCAATGGGAGTCGCCATTTAGGATGCTCCACCTTCTGGGTTGCGTAGAGCATCCTGGGGCTCGTAGTAAACCTCTCGAGATTTCCCTCGGCACGCGCGCGGGGGAAGAGGGGCCTTACGCACGCTTTGTTGCCCGAGCGGTGCCTCCGTTCTCTCCCCCGCGGTCCCGTCTTACCTGCCTTCCTCTTGGAGGGGAGATCTTTGAGCAGCCCTTTAAGCCAGGTTGGGACAAAGGATTTGGAGAAACCTAGGGCTAAAGTCACCTTTTTCCTTTTTTAAGCCCTACCTCGGCACTTCGCTCCATGGCGGTTCCTGAGACCCGCCCCAACCACACTATTTATATCAACAACCTCAATGAGAAGATCAAGAAGGATGGTGAGTGCTTGGGATAGTCTAGACTCTAGGCTTTCCCGCACGAGCTGGCCCCTCTTCCACCCGCAGCATCTGCCTCACTTTCTCAGTCTTTTCTTCCAGCCAGATTGTTCTAGTTAATCCATTGGCCTTTGCACATGCTGCTTCCTCTGTCTTCAACATTCCCCTAATTCATCTTACACTCTGCACTTTAACTTGGTCACTGTTGCTCATCTTTCAAGGTTTCCGCTCACGGTACCCTCTCCTCCAGGAAGCCTTCCCCATCCCCTCTTCCCTCAAGTGGCTGCCCCTGGCTAACGATAGGCGTGGGCATTCCTCAGCAAGCCCTGATCTCTGCGCTCTCAGGGGTCTCTCTCTCTCTCTCCACCCAGTGGCCATGTGAGGTCTGTGAGGGACTGGGGCTTTCTTGGTCATTGGCGTTCTCAGTGATCAGCCCACAATGAAAACGTACGATAATAATAATGACTAACACTCTGTACCATGGGCTGATTTATGCACTTTTATATAAATCTCGATTACATTTAATTCTCACAAAAAGCCTGTGGGAAGAAGGTATTGTAATTCCCACTTCTCAGGAAATTGAGACTCAAGGTGATGTGACTTGCCCAAGGTCACATAGCAAGGAAAGTGGTTGATGCCACCAGTATGGAATTCTGCTTAAGAACTGAATTCTTGAAATCTTAAAGACTCTTCCATTTCTTGAGTAAATTAACACCTTTGTTGAACCTCATTTTCTGTATCTGAAAACTGGACAAAATCCTAATACCTTCTTTGCATGGATCTTGTGGGGGGAATTAAATTATGGAAACCTCTATGCTTTTTATGGTACCTGCCATTTAGTAAGGGCTAGATAAATATTAGCTTTTATTATCACCTCAAGAAAATTGTCAGGAGAACTAAAAGAGCTTGCCGGGATTAAGTTTGTAGTTACCAGTAAAGTTGCTGTTGAGGAAAACAGAACCAAGAATGTAAATTTTACATATGATTTTAGAGTGTAGTGCCTGTCCAGTACTGGGCAGTGCTAGGGACACACTGGTGACTGAGAACCCTGGTTCTGCAGGACAGTGACAGCCCTGAGTAGTCAGGGCCATGATGGGGGAAGCACAGGCAGAGTGATCAGGGCTGGGATTGGGAACTTAGAAAGACAGGGATTCATTCAGCTTCATGGAAAAGAAGACATTTTGGAAAGCTATGTAGAGGAAGCAGTGTGTACATTACAGTGAGGGTGAAGAGGGTCCGTAACTTGGGTTAAGTTACGTGCAAATGTTTAGGATCAAAAGACCCTGGGGCATTCTGGACATTATAAGGGTTTTCTGTGGCTGAGGCCTAGTGGCTTGTGAATCTTGGGGAAGCTTCCAGTGAGTAGTGGCTTGTGGCCATGAGGCATTGGACTTCATCCTGGGGATGCTGGGGAGCCATGCTGCGCCCCTGTCCTGATCGCATCCCTTCTGGACATTTTCCCAGCTGTGGAGGGTGAACTCGAGTGGGCAAGAGGGGAGGCCGGAGAGTAGGGAGAGGCCCGGAGTCCAGTGAAATGACTGAGGTCTGAACAAGGTTTGTGGGGATGGAGCATGGGGAGAAAAACCTGAAATGTCACCACGAGGAGAATTTTTGGCTAATTGCTTCAAAACACCCTTGACCTGAGTCCCCACCCCCACGTACACCATATATACATTACACCTTTTCTTCTTTCCTCTTCTAGTATCTCTTTCACCAAGCAGCTTCGGCTTTGGCTCAGCTCTCTTTGCATAAGATATTGGTACTCTTTTCAGGTCTGGGTGGTGAGAGGGGTCCTTTGTTTAGCTTGAATCCCACTTGCTATCAAGTGAGACAGTTTGCTGGTGATTCAGATGGACTTGTGTCGTTGGTCCCAGCTCTGCCATGCCCTTCCCAGCACCCTCAGGATACTCGCCCTGGGCAGTGAGGAGTCCTCTGTGAACCTGTTTCCATCGTAGTAAAATCGGGACAGTCATAGTTGCCACCTCATGGAGTCCTTATGAGGATTTAGCGAAGTTATTTCCATAAAGCACTTGATGGTGTGGCGTGTTCAGTTGTAAGTGTTTGTGGAGACGTTTATGTGCTGGAGTCTGTGCTAGGCGTGGGGTGCTGCAGTAAACAAATGGGAAGGAGAGAGAGAAGTAAACATAATCATGTCAGGAGGTGGAAAATGCCATGAAGGAAAAGCAAGTAGGGTAAGGGGATGGGGGGGAGTGTGACAGGGGGGGACATTTAGATGTGGTTGTTAGAGAAGGCCTTTCTGAAGTGGTAACAGTTGTGCTGAGACCTGGGTGATAAGAAGGCAGTTAACATCAGCGGAGGGTGTTCCAGGTAGAGGGAGCAGCCAGTGCAAAGGCCCTGGGGCAGGAGTGGTGTGTTGGGCCTGAGAGAGGGCTGGGAGGCCAGTGTGGCTGGAGACTCTAGAGTGCAGTGGAGTGTGGGCAGAGATGAGGTTGGGGAAGTCTGCCAAGGTCACATTACACAGGCCTGTGTCAAGGTGCTGGCGGCAATGAAAAGAGGCACTTACTGGTGTTTACTATGTGCCAGGTGCCGTTCTGAGCCCTTTGCACATATGTACTTGTGATCTTCATATGGCAACTCTGTGGGGTAGGTACTATTACCATCCTCATCTTACAGAAGAGTACACTTGGCAACTTGAATAGTTCTTGGCTGCTTGTTATTGTTAGGTCTTGAGAGGTTACTGACCCGCAGCATTCTGGGTACTCTGTCAATTGGCTGATGGTCTCTCTCTGGGCTGCACTTCCTCTGAAATGGGGTGTTCGAGCCCCAGGACATGATGCCAAGACCCCTGGTCACCTGTGAGTCTTTTCTTCCTCCCCTGCAGAGCTGAAGAAGTCCCTGTATGCCATCTTCTCTCAGTTTGGCCAGATCCTGGATATCCTGGTGTCACGGAGCCTGAAGATGAGGGGCCAGGCTTTTGTCATCTTCAAGGAGGTCAGCAGTGCCACCAATGCCCTACGCTCCATGCAGGGTTTCCCCTTTTACGACAAGCCCATGGTGAGCATTGAGGGTATGGAGGTTGTGTATGTGTGCAAAATGCTATAAGAGACCGGGTGGGCCTGGCTTAGAGGAGTGGGGTTTAGGATCCAGTCACCAAAGTAGGCCTGGACCAGGCTCCCAGGTGGGAGGGGTTGGGCCAGGGGCCGGGTGCAGATGTTCAAGAGGCCAAGGGGACTATAGTCTGTAGGAGATGAGGAGTGGCTTAAAGTCCTCACCCTGATGTAGAATTCCTGGCGTATCACTGGCCGGTATCTTTGGCTCTTTATGTGGTTCTTCTCCCTTACTCCCCCAGGCAGTTTTTGAGCTTAACCTGATTAGAATATACCTCCCTGACCGAACTCCCTTGGGGAGGTGACAGCAAGTCTCAGTGTGTGCAGGTCCCAGGCAGGTCACTTCCACATGGAGGCAGATCATGTAGGAGGCAGTGGGCCCCAGGGACAGTGGGCCACCTGTCGCCTCCACCTGGAGAGGACAGAGTGTTGACTCCAGCCTGCTGTCACCTCTGGGTATGTAAACCTAGGGTTGCCGCATCTTCCGGTTGACTTTCTGGGGCATCTTAGGAATTGGCTTTTAGGTATGATGACCATAAGTCTTTCTCTGTTGTCCCTATCCCTTGCTTTTCCCCCCAAATCACTGCTTGGACCACATCATGTACTCAGATATGTCTGAATTTTGTCAGGAAGTCCTGTTGACTACCTTCAAAACGTACCAACCAGCTGCCTCCTTCTCACTCCTTCCCTGCTGCTGACCTGGTCCAGCCACCACCCTCGTTAGGACATGGCTTCTGCCTGCTCGCTGGTCTCCCTGCTTCGACCCCTGCTCCCCACAGGCTGTCTTCCATACTGCAGCCACCGCGCTCCTGCGAGACATGAGTGAGAGCTTATCTACCGTGCTCACAGCACTGCATGGCTCCCTCAGGAATAGACTAAGTCCTCACCAGGGTCCCCTGTTGTCTCTGTGACTTCACCTCCTCCCTCCCCTCTTATCCATATTAGCTTCCTTGCTGTTTATCGAATGTGCTATGCAGGCCTTAGCTCTTTGCTAGAAGGCTCTTTCTCTGGATGTCCCCATGGCTTGCTTCCTCCCTTTCTGTCTCTGTACAGATGTCACCCCAGTGAGGCCTTTCCCAGCCACCCTGTCTGAAATTTTCACTTCTTTTCAACACTTCACATCCCCTTCTCTACTCATTTTTTTTTTTTTTTTGAGACAGAGTCTTACTCTGTTGCCTGTAGTAGAGTGCCGTGGTGTCAGCCTAGCTCACAGCAACCTCAAACTCCTCGGCTCAAGCAATCCTCCTGCCTCAGCCTCCCGAGTAGCTGGGACTACAGACATGCGCCACCATGCCCAGCTAATTTTTTCTATATAGATTTTTAGTTATCCAAATAATTTCTTTATATTTTTAGTAGAGATGGGGTCTCGCTCTTGCTCAGGCTGGTCTTGAACTCCTGACCTTGAGCGATCCTCCCGCCTCGGCCTCCCAGAGTGCTAGGATTACAGGCATGAGCCACCGCGCCTGGCCTTCTACGCATTCTTAAATCTTCTTTAACGTACCTTCTCCCACTGCATAAGCGTCACGAGGACAGGGACTTTTGTTTGTTTTACTCACTACCACATTCCCAGAGCCTAGAATGAGGCCTGGCATTAGTAGGTTTTCTGTAAACAGCTGAGTGAGATGTAGCCTGGAATCCCGAACTGTGTCCTTGTGTGACTGGAAATCCGCTTGCACGGTGCTCCTACCCTAGCATTGTCCCTTTAGACTTGACACTTGATGTTTAGGGCTGTCCCAAACTCCCTTAAAAAGATGAACAGTCAGCCAGGCATGGTGGCTCACAACTATGATCCCAGTGCTTTGGGGGACCGAGGTGGATCATTTGAGGCCAGGAGTTTAAGAGGCTGGTGCCTGGCCAACATAGTGAGACCCGATCTCTACAAAAAATATTTTAAGAAATTAGCGGGGCCGGGTGTGGTGGCTTATGCCTGTAATCCTAGCATTCTGGGAGGCTGAGGAGGGAGGATCGCTCAAGGTCAGGAGTTCATGACTAGCCTGAGCAAGAGTGAGACCCTGTCTCTATTAAAAATAGAAAGAAATTAGCTGGACAACTAAAAATAGATAGAAAAAATTAGTTGGGCATGGTGGCGCATGCCTGTAGTCCCAGCTACTCGGGAGGCTGAGGCAGAAGGATTGCTTGAGCCCAGGAGTTTGAGGTTGCTGTGAGCTCGGCTGACACCATGGCACTCTAGCCCGGGCAACTGAGCAAGACTCTGTCGCAAAAAAAAAAAAATTAGCTAAACGTGATGGCCTGTGCCTATAGTCCCAGCTACTCAGGAGGCTGAGGCAGGAGGATCGCTTGAGCCCAGGAGTTCAAGGCTGCAGGGAGCTATAGTTGCACTACTGCACTCCAGTCTGGGCAAAAGAGCAAGACCCTATCTCAAAAACAAAAAACCCAACAGCCTATCTACTGAGTGCTCACTATGTGTCAGGTACTCTCCAAGCTCTTTAACTCAATTTAGTCCTCAACAGTAGTCCTCCCAAGTGGGAAATACCATAATCCTCATTTTACAGATGGGGACGTTGAGACCAAGTGATTTCTGCATTTCTCAGCAAGCTCCTGGTAAGGTCTGGTTTTCAACCCAGGCAGTTTGGCTCTGAAGTTCACTCTCTTAACCCTTTTGCTCTCTTTTTGGTAGCGCATCCAGTATGCCAAGACTGACTCGGATATCATTGCCAAGATGAAGGGCACCTTCGTGGAACGGGACCGCAAGCGGGAGAAGAGGAAGCCCAAGAGCCAGGAGACCCCGGCTGCCAAGAAGGCTGTGCAGGGTGGGGCAGCTGCCCCTGTGGTCGGGGCCGTCCAGGGGCCTGTCCCGGTAAGCCAGGGCCCAGAGACCACCCCTCTTACCACCAGGCCTTCCTCGGCCATGTGGCCTGGCTTGGGGGCTTGGGGATTCAGACTCCTTTCCATTTCCGTCCTTTTTCTCTTTTGGGTGGGTTGAGCACCTGGATGATGGTATTCCCCTTGAAGTACCTGTTCCTGTCTGCCTGTTTCTCTGGGGCTTTGTTTTTCCATGTCTGTCTCTTGGTTTCTCTCTTTCTCTCTTTTTTTCTTTTTTTGGCCGTCTAAGTCAATGGCTATGTAGAAAACCCAGGAGAATTTACTTAACCAACTGTTAGGATTAGTAAGTAAATTTAGTTTAGAAAGGTCGCTGGATTTAAGGTCAATATGGAAAAAATCAACTTTATTTCTGTATACTAGTAACAAACAAGTAGACGTCACATTGAAAAATAGCACCGAGGAATAAATCCAACAAAAAGTGTGCAAAACTGCTATACTGCAACTGCAGAATGTTGCTGGGAGAAATCAGAGGCCTCAGCAATGGATGGGGAAGACGATATTGTTAAGAGGTCAGTTGTGTCCAAATTATTCCAAGATCCAACAGGAATTTTGGTAGCCACTGACTGGCTGTTTCGTTTCTAAATGTCTGGAAGGGCAAGGCTGCGGCAGACGAGAAGAATAAAGTTGGGGACCTGCACAATCGGGTGGAGACGTGTTTTAAAGCTCCAGCAATCGGAGTGTTGTGCTGTTGGCATAAGGGTGGGAAGATGGACCAAGGGGGCAGGATGAAGAGTCTAGAAACAGCTGCACGTATAGCGTTACTTGATGTGTGATCAAGGCACTGCTGGAGTTCGGTCTAGAAAGGATTTTTTCCCCTATTTATGATGCTGGGCAGTTGGAAACCTGTAAGGGAAAAATTAGTCCTATCTCATACTGTATACAAAAACTAACTTGAGGTGAATCACAGACCTGAATGGGACAGCTAACACAGGAAAGGTTCTAGGAAAAAAAAAAACAGGAAAAAGTCTTCGTGACCTTGGTGAGGGCAAAAAGTGGAAACATCTTGTTTCCCAAACAGTATACAGAAAGTGCTAACTAAGCACAAAAGGAAAGATGAATGGGCTGGACCCACTCCTTTGGTCCTGAGCCTGCACGTCTCTCCAGCTCTTGTGAGTCTCGTGGCTCTCTGACTGGGTCACGCTGTATTCAATGCCACTCACGCTTTCTCTGGAGTCGGTGAGGGTGTCTGGGCTTCTGTCTGGTGTCCCCATTGTTCCTGCCGCTCTCTTGCACCCAGCTTTCCGTCCACTTTCCCCTCTTCAGATTGTGGTTCCGGCCCCGTCTGTGCTGCCTGCCATTGGGCTGTCTTCCTTCCTTCGCTGCCTCCCGTTTTCCTTCTGCACCTGCCCTGCCCGTCCCTTTCCATCTCTGCCCTCCAGTCTTGCTTTTTTCTCCCTAGATCTCTGAGTCTCTTTTTTTGATTTTCAGTTTTTTCCTTCAAGTTTCCTCTAATGGCCTCTTCTCTGCCTCCTGGCTACACCATAATCACGCCCTCTCCTACCTGCAGCACGTCAGGCCTGCTTTCCCTCTCTCCACAGGGCATGCCTCCGATGACCCAGGCACCCCGTATCATGCACCACATGCCGGGCCAGCCGCCTTACATGCCGCCCCCTGGCATGATCCCGCCGCCAGGCCTCGCACCTGGCCAGATGCCACCAGGGGCCATGCCTCCGCAGCAGCTTATGCCTGGGCAGATGCCACCTGCCCAGCCTGTAAGTGTCTAGTCCCCCACTGTCTCACATACATAGTGGGTACAGGACTAAGGTCGGGAGCAGTAGCCTTACGCCTATGATGTTAGCAGTTTGGGAGGCCAAGGTGGGAGGATTATTTGAGGTCAGGAGTTTGAGACCAGCCTGAGCAGCATAGCGAGACCGCATCTCTACAAAAAATAAAAAAATTAGCTGGGCAAAATGGCGCGTGCCTGTAGTTCCAGCTCCTCGGAAGGCTGAGAGGCAGGATTGCTTGAGCCCAGGAGTTTGAGGTTGCAGTGAGCTCTGATGACGCTAGCCAGTTGGGGGGCTGTTTTAGATTGGGTGGTCGGGGCAGGCTCCCCTGGGGTGGTTTTGGAGCAGAGCTCCCTGAATGATGAGGCTTTACCAATGGGCTTGGGTCCTGGGACAGAGAGAATGTCATGTCTGTTTGGAGGATCTGGAAGGTTAGGGTGGGCTGGAGCCAGGTGGACACCACCTAAATTCATACCTTGAACAACTACCGAGCGCCTGCTTATGCACCAGGCCCTATTCTGCGCTCTAGCTATACAGCAGTGACCAAAACAGGAAAGTCTCTGCTGTCTCGTGGCCCACAGTCTGTAGGGGCAAAGGTGTGGGGGGGTAGACAGGCAACAGCATATGGTGTGTCAGGTGGGGGTGCTAGAATGCATTTAAGCAGGGCGAGGGATGGGGAGCAGGGGCAGCGCTAGGGATTCCCCCACTACACTCAGGGCCCCCATGCTCATGGGCTCCCCTCCCTCCCCGGCAGCTTTCCGAGAATCCACCAAATCACATCTTGTTCCTCACCAACCTGCCAGAGGAGACCAACGAGCTCATGCTGTCCATGCTTTTCAACCAGTAAGTGGGGCCTGTGGCTGGGTGCTGGCTGGAGAGAGCGCCACGGGAATGGGCCTTAGAATTCTGCTGGTGGGGCCTTGAGCAGCTCAGTCTTTGCAGAAAGGCCAGTGACTGAAGCTGTGGGAGCAGAAGGCTGAGGCTGGGCCTGTATCCTTTGAGGGTTGCAGTGGGGGTGAGGTTGGAGAGGTCACTGTGGCCAGGGCATGCTAGCCTTTGTCAGCCTTTTTTTGGAGGGGGTGGGAGGAGTCCAGGCTTTAAGCCTCGTATTCCCACTTTCTGAAATGGAGAAATGCAGTGCAAGGTGTATGTGACATTGAGTCATCACTGAACATGAGCTAGACTGGCAAAAATCAGCGTGCTCAAAAACAGCAAGTATGAACCCTCGTGCCCAGTTGATAGAACTGTTCACTGTTGAGTGAAGTTAGGGGTGTGGGTGTGGGTTTGGGTTTGGTTGCCTGGTGGTTCTGCTTCTGATTGTATATCCTATAGCGATTTGGGACACGCATCTTAAAGGGCTATAAATGGAGTATTCATCACAGTGTTTGTGGTGGGGAGTTGGAGGCAGTCCCGGAGAAGGGTTGGCTCAAATGCAGAGGCTCACTGTGGTGTACAGTGCACCAGTTAGAAGGAATAGAAGGAACAACGTGGATGATTCTTTATAATAGTGCCGAGAGGAAATTTTGAATAACTGAATAAAATAGAAAAATAAGACCACTTATATAGCCTATCCACAAAACAATGCATGTTTTATAAGAATAGCAATGGAAAAAAGATATCCAGTAGACATGGTTGCCTAATGGAGAAGGTAGTAAGGAATGAGAAGAGGGAAATTAGAGAAATGAATGTCATAAAAATGAAGGTAATGGTTATTTCTTGAGTAGGGGGTGGGTTCTGATTGGAGAAGGATGCAGCGGGGCTGCAGTGTACTGTTTATTGATTTAGGTTGTGGTTGCATGTGTGTTAAAATTTTTCCTTAAAGCCAGCACAGTGGAGCGTGCCTGTAGTCCCAACTACTTGGGAGGTTGAGGCGGGAGGATCATTTGAGCCTAAGAGTTCAAGTCCAGCCTGGACAACATAGCAAGACACCGTCTCTAAAAAAATTTCATTAAATAGTATGTTTACATTACGGTTTTTCAACTTAGCTCTATATATTAATACATCGGGGGCAGATAATTCTTTGTTATGGAGGACCGTCCCGTGCATTGTAGGATGTTTAGCACCATGCCTGGCCTCAATACACTATATACCAAAATGTTAGGGGGAAATGCTATCTGGGTCCCTGAGGTCTATTATTCCTTCTTTCAGGTTCCCTGGCTTCAAGGAGGTCCGTCTGGTTCCCGGGCGGCACGATATCGCCTTTGTGGAGTTTGACAATGAGGTGCAGGCAGGGGCAGCTCGAGATGCCCTGCAGGGCTTTAAGATCACCCAGAACAACGCCATGAAGATCTCATTTGCCAAGAAATAGCACCTTTTCCCCATGCCTGCCCCTGCCCCCATTCTGGGGCCACCCCTTTCCCCCTTGGCTCAGCCCCCTGAAGGTAAGTCCCCCTTTGGGGGCCTTCTCAGAGCCGTGTGTGAGTGAGTGGTCGCCACACAGCATTGTACCCAGAGTCTGTCCCCAGACATTGCACCTGGCGCTGTTAGGCTGGAATTAAAGTGGTTTTTTGAGGTTTGGTTTTTCACAACCATTTGTCTGTCTTATTTTCTTGCCCTCTGCCCTCATGGTTCCCTTCCCTTTGCATCAGCATATCCTGGGTTTTTGGACTTCTTGGCATTTTGGAGTTTGGGAAAACAAAGGATGCTATAGTAATAATTGTCCAAACTTAAGTTACATTTACTGCTTTGGCAATTTTCTATATTGTCTCAAGCGGCATTCAGGGCGGGAAATGGAAACCCAGAGCTGCATGTACAGTTAGGCAGGGTGTGTATTGCACAAGGATGCCACGTTTAAGGGCACACCATTCACTTGGTTTATTTCAGCAATTTCTAACAGGTGACAGGAGTGTTAAGGAAGAGGTATTTCTTTACCTTTTTCTGATCTGCACAAAGGTGCCATCTGTCATAGCAACAGTTCCACAGAAACCACTGCAGGTGCTTAGGCAGAAAGGGATTTAATATAGGGAACTTGGTGTGCCTGAAATCACTGGAAGAGTGGTAGGAACGGCAGTGTAGGTTTGAGACTTCAAATTTGCAGCCCATGATTGAGCTCCAATCTAGAGTTTGGGATGATGCCACTGTTGCTTCTGGGAGTACCCAAACTGACTTGGTCACACGGGAGGTTCTGACCAGATGCTGGTACGCGGTGTGACCACCTCAAACACAGCTGATCTGCCTTGGTGGTCAGCTGCCAGCCAGGAGCCTTGGGCAGGTTCCTGACCCAGATTCCCCTGTAGTGTCTTAGCTGCAAGGGATGCTTGCGAGAGAGGTGGCTGCTCTGGAGAATGATGCTTGGCATGTGGATCTCTATTTGAAGCAGTTTGGAGGTGAGACCTAAGTTATCATCCTCCACTACTTCATCATTCTGACCTTGAGCAAGTGACTGGTCTCCAGGCCTCAGTTTTCTCCTCCTCAATATGGAAATGAAAACTGAGGGGGAAGCACTGCAGAGCATGGCCAGCAAAGTCCAGAGCTGAAGTGATCCTTGGGCTAAGCCCCAAATGACCTGGAGCAGTCTACCACATGAAGATCTGAAAGAAATGGAAAGATCTGGGGGTGGGAGAGAGCTCGGTGTTTGAGGGAAGGGAAGACTCCCAAGGGGTTCCATTTGTACTGTGTTCAATAGAACTGTGCTCCTCAGTGCCTCTGTGTGGCTGGAACACAGAGGGAGAGAGGGATACGATGTGGGCTAGGGCAGTTGCTGTGGCTGCCTTGTGGATCATATATGAAATTTTGGATGTGGTAGGCAGCCACTAAGAAGGCTCCTAATAATCAACACCTGGCATTCACAGTCTTGTGACGTCTCCTTTCCTTGAGTGTGAACTGGGTCTAGTGACCTACTTCAAATGAATGCAGCAAAAATGATGGGATGTTACTTCCAAAATAAGATTACAAAATTAGCCAGGCATGACGGTGCACTCCTGTAGTCCCAGCTGCTTGGGAGGCAGAGGCAGGAGGATCTGATCCTGCCACTGCACTCAAGCCTGGGTGACACAGCAAGACTGTGTCTGTTAAAAAAAAGAAAAGATTACAAAGACTGCCTCCATTTTACTTGCTTTTGGGGAAACCACCTGCTATGTGAGCTGTCTGGAGAGATGCATGTGGCAAGGAACTGAGGGAAGTCAACAGCCAATGAGGATAGAGGCTCTCAGTCCAGTTTCCACAGGCAACTGAATCCTTCCAACAGCTGGCTGAGAACTTGGAAGTGGATCCTCCCCTAGTCCAGCCTTCAGATGAAACTGCAGCCCAGGCTGACAGGTTGATTGTAGCCTTACAGGAAACCTTGCACTGGAGGCACACAGCTAAGCCATGCCCAAATTTCTGACGCACACAAACAGTGATAATAAATGTTGGTTTTAAGCTACTATGTTCTAGAGTAGTTAATTATGCAGCAATAGATAAATGCATTGGACTTTGGGAAATGAAGGCACTTCTACCATTTTGTGGCTTCATCAATATGATGATTGATTGTGTTCTCCTTTCTAAATATCCTAGTACTTCACACACTCTCATAAACCTGATCTGTGTTCACTGGTTGTCTTCCCCACCAGAGGCTGTCAGTTTTCCTTGCTCAATGACTCTCAAGGGCCTGGATCAGGGCCTAGTATAAACTGGTCTAATCAGGTAAAATCCAGATTAAACCAGCCCAAACCGGCTGTGAATGACTGGAACCAGTCCAAACCAACCATGAGATAGAACCAGTCTAAATCGGCCATGACTGAGCCGATTCAGTTGAAACTGATCCAAACTGGTCAAATCCAGTTGAAACTGGTTGAGACCAGCTGAAGCCAGTTTTAACTGGTCTAAACCAGTCGGAGCTGGCCGACACCAGCCATTATTGGCTGAGATTGGTCCAAACTGGTCCAATCTGGTCAAATCCATATTAAAACAGCCAAACCAGCCAGGAACGGCTGGAACCAGTCTAAATCAGCCATGCTGGCCCAATTCAGTCAAAGCTGATCTAAACTGATCAAATCCAGTTAAAACTGGTCAATACCAACTGAAAACAATCTTAACCAGTCTAAACCAGCCAGATCTGGCCCAAGCCAGCCATGACCGGCTAAGATTGGTCCAAACTGGTCTAATTTGGTTAAATTCGGATGAAACCAGCTATGATTGGCCAAGACCAGTCAAAACGGGACATTACTGGCTGGAACAGGTTGAAATTGGTCTAAACCAGTCTAAACAGGTTGAAAACAGTCCAAACTGGTGAAAACCAGTAATTTAAAAAGTGTTTTAAAGTGGGAAAGTTCAGACATGCATATAAAAGAAGAAAAAATAGTATCTGAATTCCCAGAAGCTCTTACCAGCTTCACCTGTTTTTAGCTTGTGGCCAAATTGAGTTTAAAGCAGGATTCCGCTCACTTTCTGCCCTTCTCAAATTATTTTGAAGCAAATCTCAGAAATCTCAAATCTCTATTAGCTTACTATCAGTTAATAGTTAAGTCCTGATGGTTCTCATCTCATGATGGTTCGACTTAACAATTTTTTAACTTTACGATGAGCTAGTTTGGGATATTAGATGCATTTAGCGATGTTAAGTTATATCAACTTATGATGAGTTTGTTGAGATGTAGCCCTATCAAAAATCAAGGAGCATCTGTGTCTCTTTAAAAGATAACAACCACAAGGCCATGATCACACCTAAGAAAAATAACAGTTTTGGTCCAGGCACGATGGCTCACCCCTGTATTCCTACCACTTTGGGAGGCTGAGGCTGGAGGACTGCTTAAGGCCAGGAGTTTGAGACCAGCCTGAGCAAAATAGCAAGGCTCCGTGTCTACAAAAAATAGAAAAAAAAATTAGCTGGGCGTGGTGGTGTGCATTTGTACTGCCAGCTACTTGAGAGACTGAAGCAGGAGGATCACCTGAGCCCAGGAGTTTGCGGTTGCAGTGAGCTATGATCAAACTACTGCACTCTAGCATGGGCAACAGGCTCAGACCCTGTCTCGAAAATATCAAAAGAGGAAAAAAAACCCGTTTTGAAACATCACTAGATATCTGGTTAGTGTTCAGATTTTCAATACTTTCATATGTATACCTCTATACACTGATTCCGAAGCCAAGTAAGATACGTATGTCGTGACTGGTGATATGCTTCTTAAGTCTTTTCAAATCTCGGCCACCCCTCCGTCTCATTTTTTTCCTTATCTGGCAGTTTATTGTCTTAAGATATTTATGGTCTGGATTTTATTGGTTGCATCCTTGTGAGGTCACTTCACATGCTCCTTTACTCACGTGCCCTGCAAATCTGCTGGATATATTTAAGCCTTACACGAGCCCTGTGACGTGGGGTAGCATAAAGATGGGGTGGGAGGGCCTAAGACAAGTCTTAGCCCCTCCACTTACAGCTGTATAGCCTTAGAGGGGTTCCTTAACTCTCTACATTTCCATTTTCATGTAAAATGGGGTTACAGTAGCCCTTCCTGAGGGGCTACAGAGTATCCATTTGAGTTCAAATAAAAGCGTACTTTTATTTGAGAATGCACTTTAACTTTTGGCAGTTGTTATCATCCCCATTTTACATATAAGGACGGTGAGGCTCTGAGAAGAGAAATAGCCTAGCCCAGGTCATCAGCCAGGAAGCGGCTGGTGAGGAGTAGTGAGCATCATGGGACGTTGCCTAGTGCGAGGCCCAACACACAATATTCACTCAGTACTTGGAGCTGAGGCTGTTCCTGCTAATCAATGGGCTGCCTTGTTCTGCCTCTCAGCACAGGAAATTCCAAGGTGGTTTTCCATACAGGCTCCTCTGGTTCTGTCCCTAGAGGGGACGGTAGAGGACCCCAGGTAGCTAAGCGGACTCAAGTGAAGATGGAATTGAATCTCTCAACCTGCCTGTCTGGGCCTCTCTGATTGTTGAGGGGGGCTGTCTCTTGGAGTGGCCTGGGCTGCTCTGGGCCTTATCTGGGTATTTCCTTGGGCTGGCAGTCCTCACCCTGTCTTTGAAATGGTTCTGGCTGGGTAGCAGCCTCTAGGTGGGTGAAATTTGGGACGGGTTTAGGGCGGAGACAGGACTGAGAACACAAGTTTCCTTGTGCTGCTGGAGGGGGTGGGGCAGAAGGAAATTGGAGTCCCCATTCTCTCCTTGGTCACTCTCTTGCTCATAGTCCACGATGGCGATGGCTTGGTCCCCAGTGTTGCTTGGTGTCATCGTCTTGCTGTCTGCCTTCCCAGGGCCTTGTGATGGAGGCCACCCCATGCCCAAGCTGGCTGACCGGAAGCTGTGTGCTGATGAGGAATGCAGCCGTAAGAGTGGGGAGGGGAGAACTGGGGGCTTGGATTGTTGGCCCGTGTGTGTGGGGTGCTGTCATTCCCTTCTATTCCTTCCCCAGACCCCATCTCTATGGCGGTGGCCCTTCAGGACTACGTGGCCCCCGACTGCCGTTTCCTGACCATACACAGGGGCCAAGTTGTGTATGTCTTCTCCAAGCTGAAGGGCCGAGGGCGGCTCTTCTGGGGAGGCAGCGTGAGTCTTGGGAGAGCAAAAGAGGGAAGGGAACTGGGCTGGAGTGGGAGTAAACTCATTTTCCACATGAAGGGAAAATTTGAGGGGGAGAAATGAGATAGAGATGTTGGCAGGGGGGATATTGTGACCTATTTTGTTTTCACTTTGGTTAGCAATTTTAGGGTACCTACTGTGGCGCCAAGTTCTGTTCTAGACTCTGAAGATATAATAGAACAATGAACAATCCCTTTTATTCTAATAGAGGGAAACAAGTAATAAGCAAGCCATCAAAAATATCAGCAAATATGTGCTGCTGTGAGAATTAATATAGAGCGCCTGGGTGGCTACTTTATATCAGGTGGTCAGGAAGGGTCTTTGAGCAGGGGATATTTAAACTGAGATTCGGATAACAAGGATGGAGGCACCCATATGGAGATCAGGGAGAAGAGACAGTGCAAAGGCTTTCAGCAGGAATGAGCTTGCCACCTTTCCAGACCCTGGCTTTTAACTCCTTTTCCCCAGGTTCAGGGAGATTACTATGGAGATGTGGCTGCCCGCCTGGGCTATTTCCCCAGTAGCATTGTCCGAGAGGACCAGACCCTGAAACCTGGCAAGATCGATTTGAAGACAGATGTGAGTGTCATGAGATCCGGCAAGAATTTGGAGGGAGGATCCTTGGGTTGTGATAATGGGCAAAGATGCTCCTACCCTTGGCTTTCTAGGTGTGTGGACGGGCAAAATTCTTTCCCTACCTCAATTTTATTACTACCTGTAAAATGGGTCCAGTTTGGAGGTGCGAAGATTAAAGGGCTCCAGGCTAATTTGCATAGATAGCACTTGTGTGGCCAAACCTAGCCCCTGCGGCTACAGCCTTTGCTAAATAAAACCCACTAGATCCTTTGTGGTGTAACCGCTGGTTTTTTTCTCCACTGTTTTCCCTTTCTCTTTTTCAGAAATGGGATTTCTACTGCCAGTGAGCTAAGCCTACCGCTGTCCCTGCCGTTTTCCCTCCCTGGCTTTATGCAAATACATCAACCGAGTGCAAACTGCCCGTGGCTTGTGGTCTTTTCGCGCTGGGAGGGTGGGGAATGTACAAAGGAAATAACAGGTTCCTGAATCGAGCCAATCAACCCACTGAATGAGGTAACGTCAATGGTTGCTAGGCAGAGTGTCACTGGTAAAAGCCCTTCGCTCCAAGCCGGGTACCGGAGGTACAGGAGACGGGCTCCTAAGCTTAGATCTCACACAAAAGCAAAGGAGAACCTAAACAGTACAACCGGGGGATTGTCCCTCCCGTTGGTCTAGAGACTACACTACAATGAGTATGAGCCAATCGGACCATGAAGAGGACACACATCGCAGAGCAAAGGTTTCCTCGAAAGATTATCTGCAAAGGGAGGTGGGAAGTAACCTGTGCGTATTCCCTCCCCACCGCCTCCCCATTTTCCTCCTTCCTGCTTTTGAGGCCAGAAATCGCTGCCACCAGCTCAAGATCCGCCGCTCTTCTAGGCTCTGTCAATCTTGCCCCTGCCCTCTGCTTTGCATTCGTATGGTGCCCCCTTATCTGCTCCTACCCAATCCGGAGACTCGGCTGAGTCCGCGTACTCCCGACCAAATCCGTTCCTCCGCTCAGCGAAGTAACTCTGAACAGTCCCTTCCTACTTGCTCAGCCAATCGCTCGTCTTGGTCCCGCCCCTTTTAACTCGGCCCCTCTCTCGCCACCAATCCGCGCCTTTGGTCCCGCCCCCCGCCCGCGAGTCCGCCAATCCCTCCCTTTGGAAAGCGTGGCCTGGTATCCCGCAGGCTTAGCGGGTCGCGCCGGAGGAGGGGTGGAGGCGGAAGTGGCGGCGCCCGGCCCGGAGAGTAGGAAGGAGCCGGGGCTGCAGCCGGAGTGGAGCGGCTGCCAGCCGAGGAGAAGGCGCGGCCGCGGCGCCATATTGCGGCCCTCAGCGGCCGCGACCGAGTCATGGCCGAGACCTACGGTGAGGGTGGTGGGCCGAAGCTAGGGTCTAGGGTCTGGGCCCGGAGAGGATGCGGCCTGCGGGAACGAGGCGGGGCTTTATATGCCAGGGGGCGGGGTCTGATGTTTGGGGGCAGGGCCTAAGTGGATGCTGGGAGGGGTTTAGTAGGTCTGGGGCTGAACTTAATCGATTTGGGTGGAGCCTGAGGGTCTGGTGCATGGGTTCAATAGATCTGGGCTGGGATTTGAGGGAACCGGCCTTCAGGGGTTCAGGGTAGGTCTTGAGGGAAGAGGTGGGCCTTAATGTGTCGGGGCGGAGCCTGAGTGAATGGGGCGGGGCTGGCTGTGAATGGCGGAGGTCAACCCTGAATGGATGCTCTGGACCCTGAGGTGGATCTGGCTTAAGAGGTCTGGAATGAGGTTGGGAATGGATTGTCCTCGAATTAGTGGTGGTACTTGGTGGCAGGGAGTGAGGCTTGAGCTTGAGAATAGGGGCAATGTCCTGGGCAGAGAGAGGGAAGGAGAGGTTGAGAATTGGAAAATCAGTATTGAATCATGAAAAATCATGTACAAAACGAGGTGGTAGTTGTGGCGAAGTTCCAATTTAGGTGTTAGAGGGAGCTCCCATAATTCAACAAATACACAAAAGCAGAGGGAACAAGTGCAAAGACCCTGAGGTGAGAACCAGCTTGGCATTTTCGGGGAATAGACTGAAGGCCAAGGGCTATAGTGGAGTGAATGAGTTAGAGGATGGTAGGGGGTAAAGTCAAGAGGGGCAGGGGCTGGGTTGTAGTCCTTGATTAAATGAGTTTGAAGAACTGTTAAATATAATAGCTAAGAATTGGACTCTGGAGCTCCTTGGCCTGGGTTTGAACCTAAGCTCTGCCTAACTATGTGGCTTTGAGCAAGTCAGTTAATCTCTTTGGCCTCAGTTTCCTCATCTGGAAAATGGGTATAATTTTTAGTATACCTTCCTCATAGAGTTTTCCTGAGGATTAAGTGAACTATTAATATAAGTAAAGACCTTTAGAACTGTGGCTGGCACAGTAAGCACTATATAACGGTTATCTGTTACTTTTGTCTATTGTTTTATTTCTGCCTGTGTCTGTTTCTCTCCCTTTAACTGTGATAGTCTCTTAGTTTCAGTTTTTTTTCCCTGTATCTTTCTCTCCCTGATTTTGGCTTCATCTGATCAGACTTCCTCTTCAAATTCCTGGTGATCGGCAGTGCCGGAACTGGCAAATCATGTCTCCTTCATCAGTTCATTGAGAATAAGTGTGAGTTTCTGGTAGTGGTCCCGGGAGCACTGAGCTGTGGTGATGGGCATGGTGTGGGCAGGTGGGCAGCTGGTGGGGTGGGCAGGGCTGGCCATAGGTACAACTCCAGTGCTGGCTTCTTGGTCCTTGCCGTGGTGTGTACTTTTTGCTGGGTTCTCCTTGACCTCAGTCACCTTAGCAGTGGGAATGGGTTTGTAGAGACCGAGAAGGCCTTGGAGGATGGGGGATCCTCTGAGCCCCTGCTCTGCCTCCTCTCTCCCTCCCACTCCCAGTCAAACAGGACTCTAACCACACAATTGGCGTGGAGTTTGGATCCCGGGTGGTCAACGTGGGTGGGAAGACTGTGAAGCTACAGATTTGGGACACGGCTGGCCAGGAGCGGTTTCGGTAGGTGGGCTGGGCTCCTAAGGAGGGAGGGAAGGGAGGGAGAGGGAGATACGTGCAGAGTCACTCAGAGACGCGAGTGAGAGGGCAGGCACGGTGAAGGGAGAGAAACAGAGACCGTGGTTAGCGGGTATATATAGTCAAGGTTAGGGGGGGTTCTGGAGAGAGAAAGAGACAGAGAAAAAGAGAGCAAGTGAGGCTCGGGATGGGGTGAGCAGTAGAGATTGAGAGACACTAAAACAGAAAGAGAAGGGGAGACTTGAAAGAGGCACACACTCGTAAAGGGAATGAAAAAGAGAGACAGAGGGAGAGAGATGAAGGCAATGATAAAGGAGGTGAGGAGATGCAAAGAGAAACAGATCAGAGGCAGACAGGGAGAGTCGGACAGGTATACGCAGAGAGATGGAGAAATGGACGTCTTGTGGAGAGAGAGATGCGTAGGTCTTCAGGAAATGTCTGCAGAAAAGTTGATAGACACAAAGAAACTTTGAGAGAGAGTCTGAGAAACAGAGACCGACAGCAGGGAGAAAGACAGAGGGCATTCAATCCGTGGAGAAGTGTGGTTTCTGGGCAGCACTTAGTAGCTGCTAAATTAATGCTCATGTGTTGGTTTCCTGCATGAGGTGCATAGAGCCCAGAGACAGAGAGAGAGGGTGAAAGAGAGACAAGAGTGTGACATGGGCCGGGTCCACAGTAAGTGCTCAATAAATGTGTGTGGAGTGATTGCATGAGTTCCAGAGGGACTCAGACTGGTGAGATGGGAAATGCAGAGAGTTGGCTACACTGGGAAGGGGCCTCCACCCAACACAGCAGGATGGGGACTAGCAGATGCTGCTTAGCACTTGGCCAGGCAGAGGGGAGATGCTCAGAAAATGTTGAATGAATGAGCGCATGAATGAATGGGAAGGCAAGGGTAAGGATGAAAGAGCCAGAGCCAGAGTGACAGAACTGAAAAAGAGACAGAGAGAAATCGAGAATTAAAGACACACACATAAAAAAGACACAAAGAAAGAAACGGACCAATGAAGAGATACAGAAAGACAGGGACACAGAGGCAGACAGACAGCTAAGAGAGAGACTGCAAGGCAAAGAGGAATTGTATGGCAACTAGACCAAGGCCAGGTTTTGGGGGACGGGCCAGCAGGGAAGGGGGGCCTTCGAACCACCAGTCTCTCTCTGCAGAGGGGGGCAGTCTTGGGGCAGACCCCAACCTTGGGGGTGACTGAGTCCCCCTGGCCCCACAGGTCGGTGACACGGAGTTATTACCGAGGGGCGGCTGGAGCCCTGCTGGTGTATGACATTACCAGGTGGGTGTGCAGAGGGGATGGGACAGGGTGGGGCATGGTGGCTGCTCTCCTGTGCTGCCTCCCTCCCCTCTCCTTTCTCCACAGCCGGGAGACATATAACTCACTGGCTGCCTGGCTGACCGACGCCCGCACGCTGGCCAGCCCCAACATCGTGGTCATCCTCTGTGGCAACAAGAAGGACCTGGACCCTGAGCGGGAGGTCACTTTCCTAGAGGCCTCCCGCTTTGCTCAGGAGAACGGTGAGAACTGTGCGCTGGGCCAGGTGGCGGAGGGGGCAGGCTGTCCACAGGGACCCCTGGCTCTCAGTGGCTGTGCCCAGCAGGGGAACACGGAGGCTCAGAGGTCTAGGTTCAAATCCGAATGTTGCTGTACGTGAGCTGTGTGACTACGCTGGTCCTCAGTTTCCTCGCCTGAAAAATGGGATCATAACATTTCTTCCTCATGGTGTGCCGTGATGGTGAAGGGAGGTGTCCGTGGAAAGCCTTCCATATACCGATATGAAGTGAGAGCTAGATTCACGCTGGCTGCTAAGGTTTCGATTACCATGAGGAGGCAGCTCAGGGCATTGGCTTAGGTGGATATTGTAAACTCAGATTAGCCTAGGTGAAAGGCACATTTTGTGAATATAGGAGGTGGGATGGGGCAGATCCCAGGGTAACAGGCACCGTTGCTAAGGGAGGTGTACTGACAGCCCATGCCAAAAGGTTTGCAAGAATCAACTCATTTGAAAACATTGTGTTGGCCAAACCAATCATATCTGCTGGCTGGGATATGCCTCCTTCATTTTGGAAGCTCCAGGTTTAGTGGAAGTTTTGCCATCAGAGACATGTGGGTTTGAATCCTGGCTCCAGTTTACTTAGTGTGAGGCCTTGTCATGTAGCTGATGAGTAGACTCTGGTGGGCCTGTGCTAGACAGAGCTGGGGACACAGTGATGAAGACAGCCCTAGGCCCGGCCTGCGTGGGGCTCACAGTTCAGCAGGTGGGCGTGGAAGGAAGGACAGACCCATTTCCAGACAGTGACAGCCCAGTATGGTCAGGGCTAGATGGAGAAGCACAGGGAGAGGGGTCAGAGCCAGGATAGGCGAGGCCCAGGTAGAAGGTTAGGCATGGGCAGAGGG